CTCCAGCCAGCAGAGCTGGCTGGAGAATTCTGGGAGTTGAAGTCCACAAGTCTTAAAGTTGCCAAGGTTGGAGACCTCTGCCCTTGATGGCAGCTCCTCTTTGCTATTTATGAAGCAGCTGTAGGAGGTCTTTCTCTTTCTGTCCTTGCCTCTCCTCCCCTCTCCTTCCCTCCTTGCTTCTCCTTCCTAAATATCTCCACAGGTTGAAGGCTTTTGTCAACTCTTTCCTGGCAGAGTAGATCACCCTCTAGAAGAAAGGTCTTCCATCACAGGGATCAGCCATGGAACGTCAATCCAAATCTTCACTAATGATCTCCCCTCAGGAAGAAGGAAGAAAAGGGCAGCTGTTCCCACAATCCCAAAAGGGAGAGGAGAAAGGGAAGATGGCTAGTGGGGACAGCTGTGACTCTGGGATTCTGATGATTCTGATGATTTCTTCCAAAATTCCTCCTCCTCCTCTCCCTCCTGCTCCCATTTTCTGTTTCTCAAGGGAGGGAATTTCCCATGCTGTTCAGTCTAAAGCTATATAGAGATACCACAACAGAAACAAAAGTGAAAAACAGGCACCACTCTTTCTCTTTCTACACCTTGTCCCAAAGATCCTTTCATCCATACGTCCTATCTTCCCAAGCTACATCAAATTTCCCAGCTAATTTGGCTCTGCCATTCCCAATTCTAACAGGTGAACAAGAGAAGCAAAGCAATCAATGAAAATAAGAATCAGGGGCTAATAAAGGCTCTTGTTGCTTCCTGACAGTATTATTAAGAGCAAAACGGGTAATCTAGAAGCTGATAAAAGTGATGGTTTGCCATTTTTATTTCCTCCCTATGCCCCAAGGGATCCAGAGTGAACCCTCTGCTGAAAAAGGACGTTTGGTTGAATTCAAATGAATTGCTCAGGTTAAGGAAGAAGAGTGGGGAATTCAGTAGAGGGCCCTCAAGCCATACTGGGACATTCCTAGTAACTTCATGATGTCACTTGGCAGTTTTAGTGGCAACTTATAACCTGCCACTACCTTCAGCCAGGATGTCTTCTGACCTCTCAGTCTAGCCTACAGCCCTGTTCTTCCTGGTGGACTTTGAGCTAACCAGTCCAGGCCCTGCTTAATTTCTGATGTCTGGAAGATATTGTCACCTGCTGAAATGTGACCTAATATGATTAGTAACCCCAAAGTCAAGGTCTTCTTAAGACCATTCACAACTGAAGCAAACCAAGCAGGTAGTGAAGGATGGAGCACATCCTTCCTTTTATTTTCGACCAACAAGATTTCCTCATAATTTTTTCTACACACATAAGAACTGCCTGCATATATAAAAGCCTGTTCTCTGGTATCTGCACTGCTGGATTCTTAAGTCCAAGATGGAGGAGATGCATTTCAGGACGCATTTGAGAAGAAGAAGAAAACATTCTTTTCTACAGAACGTTAACGTTGGACTTTTTTTCACTAAGCTGCCTTTCCTACCCTTCACCCTTAGAAATCTGCTTACATCTATTTTGCTCAGCTCTTGAAAGCCCCTACTGTCACTGAACCTACAAACTGAAACAGCAAGAATGTAATAATGCCTCAGTCTTGGACAAAGGGATTCAGAAGGAGCAGCCAAGTTCTGTGGGAGAGGCATTCAACTAGTGACAATCACAAAATCTCCCCAAAGTTTACATGGGCTACCAACTTCCCTAAGAAAAAGATAAATGGTTTTATTGCCAGGAAGCAGGTCCAGACTATTTTACTAGCTGGCCCAAGTAGAAGAGGATCACTAATCAACAAATCTGCAGGCAAATCTTTGTCCCTAAAATATTTCACACTTTTCTTTATTGCACAATAGCATTCTCTCTGACCTTGGTGGTCGTGCATGTTAAAAACAGCCACAACCTGATCTGCAAATATGTTAAAGGGGCAGGTGCTTCCCCACCCACCCCCGCCTACTTAATGCTTATCCCAGAAAGTTCATGAGTTCAACCTCTATACACTGGGATTCCCCTTGGAGAGGGGTGGGCATTTGAGGCATGCAGTTCCTGCTCCCCCTTGCGCTGGTCCCAATACTTTCTTGAGTTCACAAACATCCATAGAGCTTCAGATCAGGTTATGGGGGAGGGGGGGAGAGGAAGTTACTTTGGAGGCATTTAAGCCGTCTTGAAAAGTCTTTCACCCAACTTTGGTGTCACCACGTCACAACTATCCCCAAGGAGGTACCAAAAGTGCTTTTTCAAGAGGCAACTGGACTTTCTGGTTTTATTTTGAAGACGTTTCACTTCTCATCCAAGAAGCTTCTTCAGCTCTGAAGAAGCATTTTGCCCATTGGAGCATTTTGTAAAGCAAGAGTTCTGCTATTTAAAAAAAGTGGCCCACCTCTATAAGTGTAACTCGGCTGCTGGGATCTGGGAGAAAGTCGGCTGCCATCTTTTAGGCCCCTCTTCCCTCCCTCTGCCCCTGATATAGGTCGAGACATAAAGCCCAGGCAAAGCACCCCTCTTTTCGAAAGCAAGGCAGAAAGGCGTCCACAAGTGAAGAAACCCCACCTACGACACAGACAAATGGCAGAAGAGCCTAAATGGCCCAGCAACGTTCCTAGGCCTTAATTGGACACAGCTCTTTTCTTTTCCTAGGATCTATATCTTGCAGCAATTTTGTGTGGCATTCAGAGAGAGGAGGAAGCTAAATAAAAAGTGATGCTTGCCAGCTCTGTGTATCCTCCACCACCGATGCGCTAGAAGAAATCCTTACCCTCGAGTGAACATTTGGAAATTTAGTGATATTATTCTTCTTTAAGGCTAAACAAGAAGGGGAAAAAAAAACACAGAATGAAGGTTAAGTTTAAAATGGGATGGAACATGAAGAGCAACTCAACTCAGTGCCCCCAAAACAAAGCAAAACAAAACCAAAAACCACACCCGATTTTAAAGGTTCAGCATGTTAGCAAAAAAAAAAAAAGCAAGAATGAGTGAAGCCAAAAAGTAAAGAAGATTAAACAGAGAAAAATACAGGCCACCCTAACCATTAGCTAATTAAACTCCAAGCTGCTTTGAACACTGGCTCCAGAACGACCAGGCAACATTTTCATTGGAAAGAGCAAGCAGGATTTGGACTGATAACATCACCTTCTTTTATACCTTCTGACATTTATATCAAGGGCAACAACATTAACAGATTCATTCAACTTCCACTTTATAACAGTTAACGTCAAAAGATTTCAGTGCGTCCAGTTCCATGGCAATCGGCTTGGGATATTTGTTATCCAGAGACAATTTGAGATATGTTGTCACCAGCTTTGCCTTTTCAAGCAGAATGGCCTTTGACTTTCTCCTCCACCATTCTTAATCCTTGGAGAGCTAGCCTGAGATTGGTTTAACGTTCATGTATAGATCTTCTTACTTCTTAGCTCAAAACTCAAGGCCGCTTGCAACTGGGGGGTTAACCTGGTTCCTGATGTTGATTTTAAAGGTTGATTTGAAATCTCCCCAGTTATCAAACCCAAAACAGCTACTGTGTTTTCTTGAAGATAGTATTCCTATTGTAGGCCTACGGAGGTTACATTGGCATGGAACTGAATCTAGCACAGCTATGGATCTGACATGATAAAAATGGAGGGAGGGAAAAGGTTTTGACATGCAAACACCAACATGCAAGCAGTGAGTTGAATGACAAATATGAAAAAAAAAATTGTTTTTGCAGATCACAAACCAAGTTTCCCCCTCCCAAAATTTAACTTTTCTTTAGAGGTGCACAGCATTTGTCTCCAAAGGGGGCTACATTGATTCTGATCCAGCGTGGGCATCTTGCGGTAACTAACCTTTCTTGAGCTCCCAAGAAAGCCATCAAAAGTTAGGAAAATACTGAGAAACAGGTGCCCCATGAACAAGCCCTTAACTTCCTATTTTCCTGGCCCTTAGAACAGGTGCCATGTGAGCTCCAGAAAAGACACATTGAGGGAACTTCTACTAGATCTGAAGCATCTCCGCCCACTTCGGATCCAAATACTGCACACTTCTAATTTCTCATTACAAACATAGCTTCTTTCCAGATAAAGGCTTAATACGAAGACTTACGCAACAGTGATTAATCTGCTAAGATCAAAAAGAACCCAAAGTAGAAGAGTATACAAAAAAAACCAAATGGAATCGTCTGTCATGATTATCGCTACACCCCTCAACAGTGGCCTGTAAATTGAGTGGAGTTGCTAGAAGCACAGCTGTTGCTGGTCTTAAGGACATTCACTGATTTCCCATCTTGGCTGTTCTGTGGCAGTTATAACTAGACCAGGAGTGTCCAACTCTGGCAACTTTCAAGCTTGTGTATTTCCAACTCCTAGAATTCCCCAACCAGCCATGCCGGGGAATTCTGGGAGCTGAAGTCCACAAGTCTTAAAGTTGCCAACATTGGATACCCCTGATCTAGACCCTGAAATGGATGGGGTGGAACAAGCTTTCACGTGGTGGGTGGAAGGGAGCAAACCGTTACTGGCAGACAGGAACGTGCAAGGAGATGATGGTCAAGGAGAGGATCGTGTGAAACGTGATTCCACAAGGGATGCCAGACATCACAAAACCCCATTCAACACCTCCTCCTCCCCCCCATTGCCATAACGTGGAGAAATGTCAAAAACCTACAGCAACCTTTTATTTTTTAAAGAGGATCAGCTGTGAAAGGGGAATAGTTTAGTAATGGAATTCCTCTGTGAGAACAGGTTCGCAGAAAAACCGAGAGCCACGCTTGGCCGTTCGGGCAGTAAAGGGCACCGTCTTCAGCACTGCATGGAAATAACAGCCAGACAAGACACAAGACAGTAAGAAGCAAAGATCTCTTGCATTAGTACATAGTTAGTGTTTTATTAAAGGCACCCTGCAGCAGACGATCTCTTGATTAACCACAATAAGGGTTGTGTAGCTGGGTTATTGTCAGAACGCTTTTCCCGGCAGCCCCGGGATTTTTATATGCTGCTTCGTCTCAGTACAACTTCCCTTTGCAGGTTGATGTTCCCTCTCCCTGCTCACCATAAATTGGGCTGAATCAAGGGAATTCCCAGGGCACATTTTCACGTTTAAAGCCAGTTTGACTTTACAGAGCCCCCCTGGGAAGTTCTTGCCATTCTAGTGAAGTCTTTGCAGAACAGGGTGTTTAGCCTCTGTATGCCTAGATATCTTTACTTATTATTGTGTGGCTATAGTAATAAATATTTCTTGGGCTTTCCTTTACTCATAAAGCGTAGTGCCAAATACAACATTCAGAAAAAGTGGCTGAATTACTGCCAATGTAAAGAAAGAAAGAAAAAAGATAATCTGAAGATATAAAAAGCTTCATCCATTCTGCTGGGACAATAGAAAGCAGGCAAATCAAACTGCAGCAAGTAATGGGGCCTGTTTCAGGAATCTTATGTTGTCTGTCCAAGCTGTCTTTGTCTTATCGGTTACAAATTACATCCAGCCATTGGATCCCTATTGGGTTCAGTTATGAACTGCAAATAAGAGGGTGCGTAACGTTTGTTGCAAGAAGAATACGCGATTCCAAAGTTTCGTGCAATTCAGCGTTTCGAATGAAACCATGCCCTCCGTTACTCCTTTACAGATAGTTCTCACTAACTATCACGTTTAAAAAAGTTAAGAGGGTGTTAAAAAAAAAAAGCAGCCGGGTGACCAATCCTTACGTTTGTAGTCACACGATTGCCATGTCTGTGCTTTGCAAGTGGCTTGCGACAAGCCGAGTTAACAGAGAAGTTAACGGAAGTAAAATCGTAAATCATGGTCACATGATGTTTTGCTTAGCAATAAAGTCGCCAGTGCTAATGGTCGTCGTTAAGCGAGAACTACCTGTATTGTCGTGGCTATTAATGTTAGGAGCATTTTTACAGTAAGGTGGCCTTTTTAGGACAAAGTTAAAACACGAACGAATTCGCAAACAAATGAAACCCATTCCAAGTTTTCTCTAGCATGCCTCTGATGAACTAAAACATACAGCAAGACTGTTCGATCTATGGCTTTAGTTATGACAATGTGAATAAATACACAATGATGTATCAGTTGAGACTGCTGCCATTAAACAGGCCTAAAAGCCTGAAATTTGGCCAACTTAATTTAATGGTTCATCAATTAATGTTCCTACTTGTTACTGTTTACAAAGCCCTAACCAAGCAATTAGAAGAGAACATTAGAATAGTGTGTGTGTGTGTGTGTGTGTGTGTGTGTGTGTGTGAAACAGGCTCTTTGGAGTATGAGGGGGAGGGGGCTTTACCTGTGATGATATCTTCAATAGCGCCATCTTTTCCTTCATAAACATGCCTGTTGTCCTTGATCTGTCGTCGTCTTAGCTCTGCAATTAGCTCTTGCTGCTGTCGCTTAGTTTTATGAGATGGAGACTGGAAGAGAGTAACACAGGGTTGCAAAGTCAAATAATGATCAGCGTGTGCAAAGAGGCAGTAGCGCCCCTTCTCTACTAGTAGAAACACAATTGGATTGGAAAGTAATACAGATAGTCCCTGACTTATGACCACAATGGAGCACAACATTTCCATTGCTAAGGCGAGTGAAATTTGCCCCATTTTACGACCTTTCTTGCCACAGGTGTTAAGTGAATCACTGCAGTTGTTAAGTTAATAACACGGTTGAGTGAAACCTGGCTTCCCCAGGGACATTACTGGTCAGAAGATTGGAAAAGGTGATCATGGGACCCCGGGACACCACAGAGGCGGTATTCAGCAGGTTCTGACCAGTTCTGGAGAACTGGTAGAGGAAATTTTGAGTAGTTCGGAGAACCGGCATATCCCACCTCTGGCTGGCCCCGCCCCCATCTATTCTCTGCCTCCCAAGTCCCAGCTGATTGGTTGGGTTTCTTTTGTTGCCCTGCACAGGAGAACAGAGCTGGAAAGGGTGGGGAATGGGGATTTTGCAGTATCTCCATTCCCCCTGGAGTGGGGAGGGAATGGAGATTTTACAGTATCCTTCCCCTGCCATGCCCACCAAGCCATGCCCACCAAGCCACACCACGCCTACACAACTGGTAGTAAAAAAATTTGAATACCAACACTGCTGCAACCGTCATAAATTCATGCCAGTTGCCAAGCGTCAAAATTTTGCTCATGTGACCCCGGAGATGCTGCCAACAGCCGTACGCAGTGGTGGATTAAGGCTCACTGGTGCCCTAAGCAATGACAAATCTTGGTGCCCCCAAGATTTACATACTCCACAAACGAAGCCATATTCTCAACTTTGTGGTGCCCCCTTTGGGCCTGGTATCCTAAGCACGTGCTTAGTCTGCTTAATGGTTAATACAGCACTGGCTGTACGTATAAAAAATGGTCATAAGTCACTTTTTTCAGTGTCATTGTAACTTTGAATGGACACTAAATGAGGACTACCTTTATTGGAAGCTGTTCTACACCATAGAAGCTCATCTGGATGGGCATGATCTACTCCAGTGATAAGCTACTTGATGTCTTCCTGATACTTCAGATTTAAATTTGCCCCAACCAACATGAGCAATGACAAAGCGTTGATCGGCACTGAATGGCCATGGGGGGATTGCTACCCAAAGTCTTTCCCAGGACCTCAAAAGGCAGATATTGAATCTTGGATACTCGGCATGCAAAGCATGTATTTCTCCCAATTGTGGGCATTTTTTTTTAGAATCTTCAGCCTGATCTGTAACTTAATATTCTGCTTTAGTAAACTCCTACAAAGTATTTCCTAAGCCTGCCACCCAATTTCTACATTACTTGGAAGCAAACAAAATAACAAATATGAGTTGATCCTGGAAAATGAAATACCATTGTTCAAAAATGCCATAAAGCCAATTATTTCAACAAGGCAAAAAAAAAAAAAAAAGAAAAAGATTTCTGGTCATTTTATGATTAATGCATGCACGTGCGTGCACACATACACACACACACACGAACGCTTGTAATTATATAGTTCATAATGTTTTTTAATCCCATAAACAAACCGGAAAGCAATCTTGCCACACTTCCAAATGCTTTTATGCATTAAGGTGGTTCTTCTCTACTCTCTCTATAGTATATATAACATACTGTATAGAGATAACTCTATATAAGCACTATATAAGTGCTATAGAGATAAATTATATTTATACATCATTCAAAAGAGACCATTAAAAAGTAGTCAGCGTCCAACTAAGCAAGAGTTAATTCCAGACAAACAGTCAAGAAGAAAACAATACTCTAATAAGCAGGAAATCCACCCTGCTACTGAAACTGGCAGGACAAGCTACTGCACAAAAACTGGGAGCAAACCCCACACTCACTTGCACTGATGATGTTACCGCGTTGGATAATGAAATGGAAGGAGTAAACAGAATAGAATAGGATAGGAATGTGAAACTCTTGTAAATTCCATAAAAGCTTCTTGAATGTTGGTTACAATATTTTGGGAGGAGTGGAGCAGGGGACTTTGGGTACAGAATAACCCAAACTTCCCAAAATTCTGACTTACCATGAACAAGACTTATAGCACATGTAAATTAAACTGAGATCTCTGGTTTCTTTCAAACAAGCCCAAAGTTGAAAGCTAAGAAAAAAACATGGCTTTAGATCTAAGAACAGACATCAGAGTTCCTGGTTCGTACATCGTAACAAATCATAGACAGACTTTCTATTTTTAAGTAGCAATAATAAGTTTCCAAATAATAAAATGCTTCTACTAGCAAGAAGAACCTAGCAGGAACAATAAACAAGGTCCATCTAAGATTATTACAGAACTTGGGGATTCTGGTTTATTGTAATGTGCAAATGTTCTCAGGGATTGCGACTTTAACAATTTCATCAACAATTGTCAAATGCTTGCTTGTTTGTTACCTTTTGGTCTTGTTGTTCCAGCAATGCTTCCTGCTCCAGCAGTTTTTCCATTAATGCCTGTTCTTGCTTTTTTCTCAGTTCATTCTCCTCTTCTGCTTGCTGTTAAGAGAAACAAATGTACACTGGTAAGAGCTACTGAAATTTCAAATATACAAGAGACTGATTCATTCAGCAAAAGGCATATCTATTAGTACAAATTTAATTCAGACATGCTGCTGATCCAATGAGACAGAACCCAATTTATAGCATTATCTATAAACTCTTTTAAAAGCCCTTAAACTATAAGAGACCTAATTGATTATTTGCATGAAATCTCAAACCAGGTCCCATAAGTGCTGAATGCAGAGGAAAGCACGTGCCATAGAGATGACAGAGGTTCTTCTTTTGGTTCTTCTTCTTTATAGGCAAGGATCCCTGACTATTCAGGTTCTTCACTGGCTCCATCTTTGTATGTTCAAATTGGCAGCTCCTTTCAACTTCCCAATACAGAAAGGCTGCACATTTGCACATACTGTAAGCAAGTATACATTAAGGTAGACCACAGATCGTGAAGACAAAAGGAACAGCACGTATGCTACAATTCTACAGGAGTTTCCCCCAACCAAGACCCAAATCGGGGAAATCAATAGTTTGGGGGTGACTACAGAATCATCCACAAATGAATAAAAAGAAGGATCATACTGGTCTTACTGCTTCCATATGATTGCTGCTAACTATCTCGGCTAACCAAATGCTTCTGAAAACTGGAAGCTAAAAGATAGAACAAATGAAAGAGCACTGAACTCATTACTAGATTCACTGTGACTAGTGCAACAGTTTTGAGAATTCATAAAATTGCCACTTTCAGCATAGTGCCTTTAGACTATTTGATTACAAGTATCTAGATCTCTAGTGTCAAACTTGCGTCGTATCATGACTTTTTTCCCCTTCACTAGATTGGGCATGGCCATGGCCAGCACGTGATGCATCTGGTCTGCGGGCCGCAAGTTTGACAGCCCTGCTCTGCTCTGGACAATTGGATATTGTGGGATAGGTGGTCAAAAACTTATCAAGCGGCTTCTAGACCAGAGCTGTATTTATTTCAAACTCCCTATGGAATAAATTCCTTACTGAAGGAATATAGAAACAAATGTACTCATTTCTGTTCTAGTCACTGTGTTTTCAAAATAGGCCCCCTATCCATTTTTTAAGCCTGCTTCGCGCAAAGAAATTTCAGAACCAGAAGCTGAGGATGAATTCAGATTTTTAATATGATCAGGGCTGGTGGCTTTGGTTTACCTTGTAAGCCTTCACAAATCGTACAAAGACTGGGAAGAAGACTGATGGAGGAGTTGTCTTGGGATTTTCTCCAAAATATTTCACAGCATCATCAAAGGCATCCTGTAAGAGAGGAACTTTTATTTTTTTCCCCACTGAAGCAACTATTTTTGTCTTTTGCACTAAAATGACAATTCATTATGGCATATGTATCTCATTTTGTTACAATAAAGTACAGCTTCATACAATGCAATAACTACTGACAGGAGAACAAAGACAAATGTTTTTACGCATTTCTAATAGAAAATTGTATCCTTCCAGGTAGCGTATATAATCTTTTACACAACCTCTCTATCCTCTGAGATATTCCCTCTGCTATCACTACCAAACAAGAGCCTTCCTGTGAAGTTACAGCCTGTTTCAGGAAATAGCAATTCTCCTTTGGAAATTTTTAAATCAGGACTTAACAATTATCCATCAGGGATGTTGTAATGGAGCAGAGAGAATTGGATTAGATTTACAAAGGACTTTCTAACTCTATGAATCTACTTGTTACAGTTGGCTGCTTTTTCTATTATTACTTGATCTCCATGCCTTAGAGAATCATTGTAGCATGATGTGACTTTCATCAAGAGATGCATTTTCAATTGGCATACATTACTATTGCTTACATGTAGGATTTCAATCTACATCTAAAGTTCTTTTGCTCAGTAGGAAGCATCCCAGTTATTGCTACCTTGCTTTCTTCTAGGACAGAAGTCTTCAAACTGGACAGCTTTAAGACTTGTGGACTTCAACTCCCAGAATTCCTCCTCCAGTCATGTTAGCTCAAGAATTCTGGGGGTTGAAGTCCACAAGTCTTAAACTTGCCAAGTTTGAAAACCCTTCCTCTATGACAATCTTTTCGGCTTTGCCGACCAGCGGTGGTGGTAGTGGGGTGTTCCACGTGTGCAGCTTCATTTGCATGAGCGGATACACACACTCACCTACTATTTCCGCAGTCCGGTTCTGAAAGGCTCAAGGCCCGATAGTGGGCTGCAACCGGGCGGTTGGGGATCCCTGCTCTAAGAGGTGCCACATTTCAAATATTTCCTTTCAAGTTCTGAGGATTTAAGGGAAACCTACAGTTTACTCTGATCCACTGTTCTCTCCTCCAGACCCTCATATAACCTGGTAATACTTAACCTCATATAACCTGATAATAATATTAGGTTTAGGCTGAGTCAGAAAGACTAGTCCACAGTTACCTCATAAGAGGGAACTTCAACCAAGGTCTTTGTCAGGCACTATAATTACTATGTCACACTTGCACTTAGAAAATGACTTGAGCTTCTGTCTTCACTGAAGAGATAATTGTCAGATTCAAAAGGTGAAAGATTCCTTTGCTCTCAGATCTGGATAGCTAAATCTGAACAAGAGACAAAGTCTGTGGAATACCTGGGCTATTTTTGCATCATCCTGCAACTTCTTCAGTTTCCCTTCGTTGTTCTGGATGAATTCCTTCAGCATTGTATTGTGATCGTGCATAGTATACTCTCGCTTTGTTAAGTCCAGACCTCTTTGGAGTTCCTTTACATCTAGTAGGACATTTTCAAGGGATACTAGAAGAGAAGAAAAATGCAATAAGGTTACATTAGAGAGCACATGTCTCTAATTCAGATAGCATCTAAAATCCAGTAAGGAATGTTATACAGTAAGGCATGAAAATTTACCTGCTTAAGATAAGTATGTTTCATAAGAGATGTACCTTAAATATAACTTATACTATAACATTATCATTACCGCACTGAAATAATGAAAGATCAACTGCATTCAAAATATTATATATGTTACAAACAGAAAATCACAAGAACCAAAGAGGCAGTGGACAAAAAATGTGCCAAATGACATAAAAACAGAAATAACTTATAAGAAGTGTATTTCTGGGACTCTGTACCAGCAGTGTGCTACTTTTCATCAATTTCTGCACAAGTTAAACTTTTTGGGTCCAAGCATTGTGACAGCAAATATTTTCACCTAGCATTGATGAAATAAGCTCTTATGGGGCACAGTTTTTCTGGGATATATAGCTGGGTATTGGAGTGGCATACATTCAGAATTATGAAAAAGCAGAGCCAATTTACCAGGAAAAGCATTGGCAAATCAGGAATGTATAAATCTCATTAATCTGCATTGGCTTTTGGAACTGCAGTGCAAGGGCCATATAATAAGTTTTAAAGAGTGGATGAGAATTTAAATATTTGATAGGAAGATACAATGTTCTATTTCTTATAAATGACATTATTAGGGATCCTTGGTGATTTCTGGAGCTTGGCTGTTTTCTTGCAAACATTTCATTACCAAGTTATCTAGCGCTCATGATGTTACCCAGCTTGGGTAATGAAACATCTCCAAGAAAACAACCAAGCTCAGAGAACATCAAGAACCCCTCATTTTAACCCTGGGTTACAAATATTCTCCTTTATTGGAACAACATTACTTTTAATGATTAATTTCTGACAGAACTATTACATTTTAATATACACAGGCATCTCAATTGATTTCCAGATTTAAAAAAAATTGGATGAACATGTATAAAAGGCATCCAAGAGCAATTATTCTGTTATACGTATACTGGGCTACAATATCCACTCTCATGTAGGCAAACCAGGATGACACAAGAGAGACCAGGAGGGAGGATTAATTGCTGGTAGACACAGAGTCTGGTGGATGCGGAAGGTTGCACCTGTTGAATATGCACCAATGTTATAAAGAAATAGGTCTTGCAATGAAACTAAGAAGGTGGTCTGATTGCTAAGAACAGAAGGAATCAGATTTAAAATCAGGATGACTTTGTGATCTCCCATGCTCAAACCTTCTTAAGTGTCCATCTGCCTGTTACAAACTTGTGTAGCTCCCAAGCTAATTAATAGCTTCACCAGGGGCTCCCTTCTCACGAGTTATCATTGCATTAAGACAGGCATACATTTTCCACACTTAATAAGTAACAAATGGCCATCTTACCTGCAGCAGCTTTCTCTACATAGTGAAGTTCATTGTAAAAAAGGCAAACCTGCTGGTATTTCTCCTTTACAACATTGGATATATAGTGCAATAGAGTTTGTTTTCTGTCTGTTGATTTTGTATCTAACAACTGCAAATAAAGCAGAAAGAGACATGTTAGGAATACAATAATCATAAAATTCTAAGATAAAATCACAGATTTCTGGGAAAGAAAATTCTCCACCTTGTCTTCTCTCCAGCAGCAAATTATCACTTTTTTTCAAAAACCACTCCAAGAGGATCAGGGAAGTGAGGACTTTCCTGACAACTACAGAGTCCAGCCAGAATGATGATATGTGAGAACCTTCCTTCCATGAACATAGCTATTTAAAAACCAAGCCTGATTGGAAGTAAATTACTCCTCTTGCTGATTCTTCTGTACTCCATCCTACAACTGCCTTTGTAACTTATTGGAAGTTTTTCTCTTCTATGAGAGATCTTCAAATACCTTAACGTATTGTTCAAGTCACAGTCTACCTGTTTTAGGTAAAACAGAATACTAAGGAAAACAGCCTCTGACAACTTTTTATAGAATTTATAGAATTCTTTATTGGCCCAGTGTGATTGGACACACAAGCAACGTGTCTCTGGTTCATAAGCTTTCAGTCTACATACAAGCAACATGTAATGAATCAGGATCATAATCATAAAATACAATCATCATAAACCATAAGATACAAACTCGGTGATAATCATAGGATACTAAATAAGCAAACAACATAAATCATAATAGGATTATTAAAGAAAGGCAATCAACATAAATCATGAAATACAAAAAACAAGGTTGTAGTTATAAGAAGCTAAGGAAATAGGTAATAGGAAAGATGAAAAGATGAGAAGGATAACAGGTAAGACAGCCCTACTAGATGATTCGACATCTTAGGGCATATACAGTATTGTGGGAATTAGTCGTTTAGCAGAATGATAGCATTGGGGCCGGGAGGGTGGGGATGACTGTCTTTGTGTTGGTTGTTTTGGTGTGTAATGCCCTATAGCATCACCATGAGGGAATTAAATAATCAATTAATCAGTTGAAATACTGTCCAACTAAATGTGTTATATTAGAAATATTTTCAAAACAAGAAATTGAGTTTAAATGAAAGCCAGCATGCAGAAGAATTAACCAAAAATTAGCTTGTTGGGGTCTGTCCGCTTTTATTATAACCATCACTCAAATTTCTTAGAAATTAAAATTAGAACAAATACAAAGAAAGAGTATAATGAACAAGGAGTACCAAAGATACAAAGATATTCTGCTTATTTTTGGTTCTCTTTTAATGAATAGCCCAACCAACCTGATAGGAATGATTTGCTTATTAGTCATATTCTTCTTAGAACATGGTTATTTTTCGGTTTTAATTTTAAAAAAATTGTAACATGTCCAGAAGATGAAGTTAATTTTTTAAATTCAACCATTCCTTTTTACAGAATTTTTAATACTGAAAAATATATCCAACCTCCATATCAGGCACATTTACTTGTATGTAAATGACTTTAGTTTCTGATGGCTTTTAGACAAATGTCAGTTTTCTAATGGCTTTTAGACATTCCTGATGGTTTTTAGACAAATGTCAGTTTTCCCTTCCTATGAGGGAGCTGGGTGAAGCTGGACGAAGCTGGATGAACGAATGGGAATGTTTGTAGATAAGTAAAGGCCCCTACTTACCAGATCTAAACTTTGAAGTTTAAACCCATAGACAGCTCCTCGTTTACTGCTATTCATATAATTGCCCAGAGCCAAGATTATCTATAGGTATCATAAGAGAGGGAAAAAATTAATTTCAGCTAAAGTTGAAATTTGCTACTTGATATGAAACACATAAGGCTCAAAAGACAGCAGCAAAATTAGACTTACCTCTAGGATTTTTTTGAGTTTCTGAGAAGACTTTATGGAGACAGATGCTGCAATGATCGCATGTAATTGCTAAAGGCAAAAACAGGAAATAGGGTGAACATCCTTGAAAACTCAGCAAGTGCAAATTAAAATAGAACACTTGGAGATTTCTGCAAGAGGGAATGAATTTCAAGTAAACCACTTTTCAAGGTAGAGTTAAGCAATATATTAAAGATCCCTTATGTTTCGTTTCTTCTTCCTTATGTTTCTTCTTGTCCATTCTTGTTCCAACTTTCAAGACTCTAGCAAGAAAGAAGGGGGCAGGAAACACACAATGCAAATGCTGCAGAACCTCTCACACAAGAAGCCATATCCAACCAAGCAACCATTAGTTAGGCGCAATCAAGTTGGACTGCATAGTAACTTCACTGAAAAATGCCTGCTGACTTGACATATTGCTAGTAATGATTGTAGCTTTTCCAAGCACAGTCTCTATAATCTTTTTCAAACCATGCTTTGAACCATCCATGCTTCTTGGATATTGTTTCGCCCCTTCTACTTCTCTAAAAATTTCTAGTTTTCCCACTTCATCATGTACACATATCACATGTCTCAGGATCTGACGTATCTGATGTAAGCAGTGATATCTAATGCAATTATCTCAACGCAGCTATATTTGTGACTAAGAGGCTAGAGATGAACAGGAAAGCAGGAAATAACATCAGACCATCTCCAATAAAATGTTTTCTAGACTACCTGCTCAAAAATGAATGCTAGCAAATATATGGGTAGTTCTTGTTTAGCAACTGCATCACACAGTGACTTTTCAGAGTTCTAATGGTTATTAAAAAATGAAATTATGTGATGAGTTCCTGCATTTGCAGGTCTATAAAGCCAAGGAAAGCTGAAATATGATTGTAAAATTGTAATGTTTCATTATGTGTCTGTTTCGCTTCATGATTCAAGTCCTGGATCCAATTGTGGTCACTAAATGAGGATTACCTATAAGCCTAACTCTGAGAATTAAGATGCAGTCCTTTCCCTTTGTAAAACAGAGCTCTGATCCACATCTCACTCACCGGTGTGAGCATCTGTATGCTTTCAGTAAAGTTGCCAACGAATGCCATGATGGTCATTTTCTGCATCAGCCTTTCTATTTTGCTGAACTGCATCATAAACCGATCCTCATCTGATAGATTCTCAAAGGGCTTCCTTTCCCGCTCGTAAAGCCGCAACACTTTCACTTCGTTTTCCGTTGGCAGGAATCTCATCAGACACTCAACAAAATCTACTGGCAGCGTCTTCAAATCAAATCTGACAATACAACACAAATGCAATACACTTCAGTTCTACAAAATGAACAACAGAAGTACATCTTTAAATATTTTGCCTGAGGTACAACATAACCACAGTTTTCATAAACTTTTCAAATTACTGAAGTTACTGTGGGTCCCCACATTTCCCAAATATTCCCCTTTGAAATATTTGTAAAACTTAAATGTGGTAAGCTGGACTATAGAAGTGTTTTCTGGAAAGAGATCTGGCTAAATTCCACATTCCTGGAAAGACTGCAAAGAAATTCAGGAAGCTAAGCTCATAAATGGCTCTTAAGATAAGCATTATGCTGAAGTAGGATTTGCAAGTGACATTCAGATACAATAATGGACCATTTAATCACTAATTGGTAGCCAGATGAACATTTGAAGATGCAACCTATGCAGAGTAATAATGAATCACATATGCACAATGCCATTCTACATTTGTTCAAGATACTTGGACTACATTCAAATAATATGCAAAGAACTACACTCTTTTCATTTCCCTAATAGCTACCATATTTCTTTCAAATTGGTATTTAACTTGCCACTAAGAATGGAAATTTTGCATGACAAGTATTATAGATGAATCCATACGATGTTCTTCGAAACAAAACAAAAAATACCAATTGAACATTAGAGCAAAACAGGTCAGTTTTCTTCTTGCTTTTGTGACATGTGTATATTGGCCCTCTGCAGCTTAACACGTAAGTGTATCCCAAGGAATTTAAGGAGCTGAATCCACAAACGGTATGTGCCGACTTGGAGCCTTAGTGTTAAAAAAAAACCCAAGCGAATATAAAACAAGCAAACCTTCTTGGATCTATTCTAGTTGCACAAACACTGCTTGGCAGTTCATATATTTAAAATTGTGTGCAAAATCTTTTCACTTACGCTTGAATAGCTTTACATATTTCATCGGCAGTCTTTCCAGCTTTTCTTAGGGTGATAGCAAGATTTTTAGCCCTATTTGCCTCCAGAAGCGTGACTTTGTTTGATCCTTTCTGAGTTATTTGCTTGCTTGAAGAAAGGTCGATGGCTGGCCCTTGGGCTTTTGTCTTGAATATTTCTTCAAATTCATCCACGTTTAAATCCTAAAAGAGACTTTTTTTAGAAAGGACAACCTGGGAAACAAAAATCTTATAGAATGCACCTGTAAAGAGCAAAAGGGGTCCAATTATGCTATCATCTGTACAACTCAAAGTAAAAACACCAAGACTCTCAATTCCTCTTCAAATACACTTATCACCTGTCGTGTGAATTTAGGTCACACTTCTGCAGGAAGTCACCACAGGAGAAAACAAAGATGACTTCTGAAGCGAAACAAAAACAAAAATGAAAGCTGGCTCCAAGTTTTCAGTTAGAAATAAACCTAACATTAACTAGACCAAAAGGAAAACATCCAAGTTTCCAAACAAGTAAAGATGCAGATGTGGACAGAAGAACATAAACTTAAAGTCAGTCCATCAAATCGGGTATTTTCTTTAGATAACAATGGAACACTTAAAATCTGCTAAATGCATATGATAAAATGTGCAATAGCAAATCAAAACCATTCAACTTCAATAGGAGGCATAATTCCTATTAATTCTCCTGGAGCCCCTCTCCTCTAGAAATTCAAAATCACAATGTTCAAGGCTCGTACCTCCAAGATCCTTTCATCATCAATTTCATTGAAGACAGTCCCATTAATCTGGTTGGGTTTCAGAGCTACCCAGTTAAATACTGGCATGCGGAACTTGGTCTTAATTGGCTTCTTGATTTTCACAGCTTAAAAGAAGAGAACAGTGCAATTAGACATTTCAGAAGTCCTAATCAAAAACCTTTTTAACCATTACAGTTACTACTGGGGAGTGGGGAGGTGGCATTTTAACACTGAAAAACATCTAGCCAAAATTTTAAAAAATATACTAACTATCCATAATGATTAGGCACTCTTGGAAAATTAAAAAAAAAAAAACCCAGAGGGAGAAAGATTTCAAGTCAGTAACTGACTTCTGATATGACAATTCATATCAAAATTTGGCAACACTGATATATAAAAAAATAATTGTATACTTTTTTCCTACTAGCTATCCTGAACCGCAATCTAATGCCCACTTTTACCTAAAAATAAATCCAGATAAATTCAAGAGAACTTACTTCTAATTAGATATGCACAGGGTTGCATATTGGAATACACAAATAGCTTAATCACTGCAAAGTAGACTTCCTGCCCATGTGATTTTAGTCCATTCTCATTCTGACCCCCTTACAATTAAAACTCCAAACACAATGCCTTTTGGGGGAGGAGATTAATCTCATTGTCTGAGGAAGAATTATAATCCATTTATTTAAAAGTTACAGACATTGCATCTAAACCTTTTAGTCTTGGCTAAATTAAGATTGATAGGAAGGGATAAGGGCTGCTGCAAAGCATTTAGAAGCTGTAAACTGTGATTGTCCCGGTGTTTTAAGAATAAGCCCCACATAAACATTACTTGTTTTCTAGGGAACAATCTATGGATTGACATTTTCAGACTGATTAGGGACTCAGACATGTAATTACAATGATTGAGCAGCACATTATGCAAATGTGACATATAAAGACTTAAGCCTATTATGACACTAATTGTGTTAAAGACACACATTTGCAAAGATAGAAATGTAATTGTAGGATTCCTCCCATCTCTTTAAACAGGAAGGAACTTACATGTCCAGTTCAGATATTTTCAGATGAACCTTGAAATGGGGACCTTCAGAATTACAGACATTATCCTACCCATGTAAATGGTACCTGAAATTTGACGGGTCTATTAGGGAAAAAGTATTGCTGCCAAATTTAAATAAGCCAGGATTTTGTATTTTAAATGGTGTAAAGAACACCTGTCAGTCTCAGAACTAACTGTCCTTCATGCTGATTTCTCTCTCTCTCTCTCTCTCTCTCACACACACACACACACACATCTAAACTCAAGTAGGGTGAGTTTGATATTCAGCCACACCTTCACCATTTCTGTGGAAAATGCAGGGATAGGAAGAATAGGAAAATGGACCAACAATTCTTTTTAGGATGAGGGTGGTGGAACCCAGCTACATAATCTTTTTAACATTATGGGGATGATGTGTAAGATCTGAAACAACTAAAAGTAGTTCTTTCCTCGCCTATCTGCTAAGATTAACTCAACTCCCTCTTGAAGGTATTTTTGCCTGAAGGAGAATGAGTCTGTATTCTATAGCATAATGCTTCAAGATTTCTCTTTTATTAGGTTTTTTTTTTAAAAAAACAACCTGATATTTGATATTTCATTCCAAGAAATAACTAATATTTCTCAGGATTTGAAGTGGTTCTTAAATAGCAAGTTGCGTGCTGGTGTTAGGACAATAACAACACTCTGTAAGCACTTGTAAAAAGGAAAATCTATGAGGGCAGCATTCTTAACTTTCTCATGGAGTGTAGTGTGCTCTTCAAAATTCTTGTTTCTATAACCTTACAAACACTGCAAAATGAAAAGTCCCAGCTAATGCCCCTTTGATAAGAGAAATAAAACTTGGGCAAATCATGGTTTCTAAGCTCAAGGCTTTCCTATTGAATAAAAACAAAATACCCTAACCCAGATGAGATAGATTGCCTAATAGCAATGGCTCCCTAAGAAAAAAAATCTACCTGTTTAAAGTGGAGATGCCAAGAATTCATTCTGGGATCTTCGAATACCAAGATAATTATATTATGAGCATATGCAAAACAATTTAGAAAAATCCTTGATAATAGTACATGTCAACATTATATTAAACATGATGTTAATATTTCTAGTCTATTTATAATAGAATAGTAAATATATCTAGTATATAGTATATATTATTCTAGTATATATTATTACACCATCGACCTCTGACATAAATAGCATTGTTGTAATATTAAATTTTATGTGTAGATTAGATGCAAGACCAATTATGTCTATAGAGGGCAGACAAAGTAAATAAGTTAAAGAAGCCAGTAAAGCAAACAACCTGCAGGAATGATTTGTTTCACAAAGAAAATATGCATATGTTTTGATCACGAGACAACATGAAGATAATGGTTTTATGAAGTTTACAGTATGGATAATATTTTACATAATGCAGACCATCTCGTGCTTTTAGATAAGACCAAAAAACACCACAATGTGGTTTTTTAAAATGGCAAAATCACACGCATACCCACAAAGGATGTTGCGTTTCAGATCTGAAGCTAAAAAGTATTTCAGAAGGTTTCTGGGCACCTTCTGCTCCAATTGTCACCTCCTTAAAGAAACAGCCTGTTTTCCTGGGCTCCCTCTATAGCTATGTAAAGGCATATAAGACCTAAAGAGGCACTTTAAGGGTGTCACAAGGTGCTTTGGAGTGAGTGTTAATGCTCTGCTGATGACCCTTAACTCAGCTTTTTTGGAATTGCACGGCTACTGTGTAAGCCCAGCAGAAACCCCTGCTTTTATAAAGAGGTGCTGACAGGAAGATCACATGTGCCCACACCGAACTGCCTTTTCGGCTTTTTATCTGAAACAGAGCATATCCATAATGACAACATATGTGCATGCATGTACATTACATACACATGCAAAGCGCGACAGGACAGAAAAGAGAGGTATTAGCAAACAAGATAAAATACTTAACAAGAAGGAACCTACAGAAAAGCTTGATTGGCCCATCTTAAAGTGAAGCAAAGGGAATAAAGAAGAAAAGGGTTAACAGTAATCAAAACTAGAAGACGTTTAACTTTTTATTTATTTAAACAAAACAGTGAAATGACTTACTATTATGTATTACCATTTTTCTAGCTAGAAATAAGTGTATTCATTGTTATTTAATTTCCCCCTGTCTTGTAATCTGGCTAACAGGAGTACAAGCAAATAAAAAACCAAAATACAAAACATAGAAAACATAAATTTAAGTATGTATTACATCCAATTAACAATTACAAACCTGTTGTATCTCTCTGGTTTTTTTTTAATACCACAAAATTGGCTCAGAGGTGGCTGCTAAAGGTATATAAAGGTGTGTGTGTGTAGAGAGACCTGTTTGTGTTTAATCTACCTTCATCTGTAAGGCAAAGATAGGGAATCAGACCAAGCCCATCATTCTTGACCATTAGCCACTTGGCCAGAGTTTAATGGGAGTTAAAATAACTTTTGGAGGGCTCCAGCACCTTACCCATCCACTCATGTTTAGGACAAAGTGTATTTTCTTGCATCACAGTATCTTAATATGTTACCCTAACACTCAGTGACGCATGGGCCTCTCAAGAATCTTCTTCTGATGTCATCTAAGCAGGCAACATAAGAAAACCATCCACTCTTTTTTTCCTTTGGCAGTTTAGCTGTTAAAAACATTTAACTTAAATAATATAACAGCAATTAAGCTCCATCAGATGAACCAGTCCCGCTACCAATGTCTACCCTAAACAACCCTCTTTTATGCACAGGCCTTGGAAAAGAGAAGACTCAAATATTTTGAATAAAGTTCTTAATAGGTGTCATTTTCAAAAATACAAGTGTTCCATCTACACCAAAAGGAGGCAGCAACATTTATAAATTCTTGGAGCCCTTTTCATATTAATGAGCTTTTGCCCCAGGGACTGAATAGATTTCAATGGGACAATCTGAGTTATACTTTGGTCTATTCCAAGTCACAGTGGTCACAAAGAAACGGTATTAATTATAGCAAGACAAAACAGCATTGGCAGGATGGCTGGTCATCAGATTTAAAGGAGGGCTGTGACTAACGATTAAACCAAGTCAATGACTGCAAGCTGGTATGGGGGACTGGAATAGGGTGAATAGAATTGCCCAGACAGTAACATGTTTTTTTTTTCAGAATCTGGAATTAAATGTCTATTGCCAAATGCATAGATACTATCAGAAGGTGAACAAGTGTAGATGTTAGATAAAGTCCAAGAGAAAGCATTTACTAAGAGAACATATACTTGGCTAGCTGAAGTTCCAGTGGTGCCAAATTAATATCCCAATAGAGCAGAGGCACCCAAATATTTTTACGTAAGAATATTACAAAATAGTCTTCCGGTTTGTCGGCTTCGCGAGCGGCAGGGATTTGCGAAGCTGCGCGATCCCTGCCGCGCTAGCCGTTTTTGGGGCTCCGACCCAGCCGGGTACGGAGCTAGGCTGCCCTGCAGGGGCAGCTGAAGGTAGGGGGGATCCGGAGAAGGGTTTGGGGGTGCTGCAGACCCCCTCCCTGGCCGGCAGAACCCCCTTTTCCCAGGACGGTGCAGCGGCGGTCCGTAATGGCCGCCACAAAGAAGCTGGCAGCCGGGTAAGAATGCGCAGGAGGAAGTGGAGAAAGTGATTGAGAGGAGAAAGTTTTTCTTGGCTCCTAGGACTCTAAGACATATTTAATAAAATTCCTGAAAAGTATGACTTTCTGAATAATACCTGCCAGAAGAGGAAAAAAGCGGCTGCTTGAAGGTGCTGAAAGGATAGCTTTCCCTCTTTTCCCACGGAATAAATAACTGGATATTAAGAAACCTATTTTTTTAGGTGGAAATTGGTTTTAAGCGATGAGTGGGAAGAGAGAGGATTAAAAAGAAAATATTTGTATGCTAAGATTTGTTGGAGCAGATGCCTTAAGGATTTGAAGACTAGAATATACTGTAACAAGACTTTAAACAGATTTGGACTTTCTTTCTCTTTGATTGATATCACCCCAGAAGGAGAAAGTGAGAACTCTGCCTTGGTTTGGACTGATTGATAACTTTGGGACTGTTTTATCTTTTTTATTTTCTTTTGAATATTCTGGTTGTTGTAAGAAGAAAGAAGGAGAAAAGAAAAGAAAAGATTTATAATGGCTCTTTCTGTTGAGGAACTAAGAAATGGTGTGGAAGAAGCTTTCCTTTTCTTAGAAATGGCGCTTACTAATTATCAACAAAAATTACAACAGATGAAGACAGCAGAGGAACAAGAAAGAAAGGAAGGAGCCATCTTTAATGAATCTCAGAATTTGATCCAGAAAAAAAGAAGAGAGAAAGAAAAGAAAAGAAGAGAAAAGAAGAAAACTAAAGGATTTAAGGACTTAAGATCTAAAAAAACATTTAAGAAAGGGAAAAATAAAGTGCAAAACCAATATGATGATTGTAAACAAAGGGGAAAAGAAATACGACAGAGAAGGGAAGCCGGTAAGGCAGAGGCTAGAAGAAGGGGGGGTAGAAAGTTTTGTTGGGAAAAGAAAGAAAGGGAAAAGGTGGAGAAAAGCTACAACGTTTTGAAATTAAATGGAAAAAAGGAATTTTTTATGGATAATGGATAAAGTAAAAAGATTTTGCAAGGTACATAAGATGAGATGGTAGTATTGCAATGGTTTAAGAGTTGATAAGAGATTAAAATGTTAAAATGTTTAAAAATGATTGGTTTTAAAACTTAATAATAGGAGGGGTTTAGAATATTGTTTTAATTAAAGAGTTTAATAAAATTATGGTATTGATGTTATTATGAAATTTTTATTATAGTATTTCTTTTTAATATTTGGATTTATTCTCTAATTATGCACTTAATTGTGTTGGATGTATTAGTTAGATAGAATGTACCAAGCAAAATCTGATTGGGTATTAGATATTATTTTAAAGATTAATTTGATTAACTTAGGGGGGAGATAGAAAGGCATCATACTCTGATTAATGATTTCAGGAGAAACTGATTTTCTTTTTTTTCATAAGGGATGAGACAAAGGGATGATAAAAAATGGACAAAAGATACAAATATAATGATTTAAACTAAGATGATTAATTAAGGTAGAATTAAGAAGTGTGAAATATGTGGAGAAGTTAATATAGAAGGCTTAGAACGGTAAATAAAATAAGTAATGATATGTAAGATGAGCATGAATATAATTGAAGTCCATGAAGAGAGAGACACCTGGGTCCAAGTTACTTTCCAAAAAGATATTTTTTTTATGTTTTGTGTGTTGTGTGTATATGTCTTTTTTGGGGGGAGAATTGGTAAAAACTTGTAGAAATATAGAATGAGAATAATGGTAACTAAGTCAGAAAGAAACAGATGAAATAATAATAATGATATTGAATAAGAGTAAAGAGAAGTAAAGAGAAATTGAATAAGAGGTTTTGGTATATTATATGGAAATGGTTTAAAACAGAATTATAATTTATCTGACTTGTTAAATTTACAAGGGAAAAAGGTTTAAACATGTAATGAATAATGATAATTTGTGTGTTTTAAAAATTAATAAAACTTGTTTTTTTTTAAAAAAAAAAGAATATTACAAAATAAAACAAAACATGTGAGTTACATGTCTAAGGAAAAAAAATAGAACTAGGTCCTACTACAACCTTTAATTTTCTTTAAGAGGAAAATGGCACAGGCAGAACTAATGAAAAAGTACGGATCGTTTGTCTATTTTCAAAATATATTGGGAAAGGATGCCAAAGTTTTCTCAATGTAATTCTTTCATGGCGCCAATCTTTATAGTATAGTCTATATTTACTCATTTGATTCTCTCCATTCACAAACAGCATCGTTTTCGAAGTGCATAGCTTAGGAGCATTTGGTATAAGTTAGTGACCTTTAAATTATTCAGCTGATTCTAACAATGCTGCGAGCACAATTTACCTTTAGAGGACTAAATTTCTGGCAGGGAAATTAGCATACCCTTCATCTATTGTATCATCAATATGTAAGTGGTTGTATTGTATCATCATATAGTAAGCATCCATTACATTTATGTAATAATACTGAACAGAAAATGGAAAATGGATAGATAGCATTCTCAAACCAAACATACTCCACAGATAATCTGTTTTTTTTCTCCGTAATAGATTTTGTTGTTGAAATAAATAATAGAAGCAGCAATGGGAGGGAGGAATGGGAGGGTCGCAAGTTGACTACACTAGTCTAGTCCCTCCTCCCTCTTTCCTTCCCCCCCACTCCTGTTCTTAACATTCCTTAAGAAGACAAAGTGAGAAAAGACAAGGGAAAGACAACTTTTATCTAGCCTGAATCAGGTAGGAAAATTCAACGATACTGATACAGTACAACCTGGATGGACCGCAATAGGTAAATCAGTGTTTGCATTATCATGAATAGCAGGAAAGCTTCTGAAATGTGAATATGTATTCTGAAATTGAGCCTGGAATGCTGATTGGGCAGTGTTCTGATATAGTCATCTGGGAAATATCCTTTGTAGATAAAGTTTTGAAATTGAGTAAAATGAAACTGTATTAGGGCAGGGGTTCCCAACCCGCAGTCCATGGCATGCCAGAAACCGGTCCATGCAAAAAAAGGGAAGCCACATTTGCAGGATGCAGGTAGCATATGAAACCAGTGAAAAAAACCACTGTCCATGGAACCAAAAGAACCCTGGGGCCCAAAAGGTTGGGGACTGCTGTTTTAGGGCACTAAAAAAAAAAGTCCTGCTTAAGCTTAATAGCATATGTGAGCATATTTTTCCAGTTTGCACAGGCAGAAATAGAATAAGACATTCTTTTTTCTGGTGCATTAAAGTTTTTGAGAACTGTGAGAGTTCACATGTAGTTTTTCTCCATCTCTTCCTGACTTCAAGTGCAGCCACGTGCATGACAATGTGGCACAGAGACTTGCTTATGATGTGTGTGTGTGTGTGTGTGTGTGTGTTTTCTGAGGTTTTCGCGGGTATTTGTATGTGGATCTTTGATTATTCGGGTTTTCTCCCGCGTAAAATTGGAAGTAACTTGGTGACGTTTCGACAAAGTCTCATTCATCATCTTCAGGCTTGTGTCTTCGGCTTTGTGCTTCTCAGAGTAATGTGAGCTTGCAGCTGCTTCTGCCTTTTAACTGCTAGTGGGGGTGTGACTTGATTGGGTGGGGGCTTGGCTGTGTTCTGATTGGGTGGGGTTGTGTTCTCATTGGTTGGGGGTTGGCTGTGTTCTGATTGGCTGGGGGATTGGCTGTGTTCTGATTGGCTGGGGGTGTGTTCTGTTCAAGTGGGGGCTTGGTTGTGCTCAGGTTAGTCTTAGTTGCCGTGGGATTTGAGCTGGTGAGATGTGGTCCTGTTGTTTGGCTTCGCGTTCGTGGTCGTGCCAGATCTTCATGGTGGGTGTCCGTTCGCTTCATGTATGGGTCAGAGGGGTTTGAAGCGGGTAGTGATGCAGCTGCGGTACAGCTTCTGGTCCGTGGTCGTGTCTCATCATCTGTGTGGGTGCGAGTCTGCTTTCTGCGTGGAAGTGTGGTGGTAGCATCTTGTGTGGGTCTAGTGTCATTCTTCATGTCATTCTTCATACCTCCCGCCTACCAGCCATTTGGAAACCCACCCTCATTAACAAATGAGTACCTAACATGAAGAATGACATGACCACATTTTCGCGGGTACTTACATGTATGGTATTCAGCTTTGTTCGGGTATTTTCCCACGTCATTATAGTTGTGCTTTTAAAGTTGTAGCAACGTTTTGGCAGAATCTCATCTGCCATCATGAGACTTCATCGAAACGTCGCCTAGATACTTCCAATTTTACGCGGGAGAAAACCCGAATAATATGTTTTCTGAGGTTCTCGCGGGTATTTGAAACGTTGCCTAGATACTTTGAATCTTACGCGGGAGAAAACCCAAATAACCAAAGATTCATATATATATATATGTATGTATGTATGTATGTATAGTATAAATGCAGAAAATCTAGTTAAAAATTTAAGATATTGTTGGACCACATTAGTAGCTGTCAAGGGCCACAACCCATGGGGCCGTGGTTAGACATGCCTAATTAAGACTCTATGTCTTTCCCAGTAAGACTGCATCTTCAGCCTCAAAACCTTGCTCACGTGTCATGCTTTCTGTTGCTTCTTACCTGCTAATCCTGAGTTGAACACAACGGTAGGAGAGGCCATTCCTGGAAGTGGGGGCGCTAATGGTGGAGGTGGGATAGGAGGAGCTGGTACTGGTTCTGCAGCTGGACCAGGAAGAGGAGGTGGTGGGGGAGGAGGAGGAGGAGGTGGTGGTGGTGGCGGCGGAGGCATTGGTGCTGCCATGGGACCATTTTGCACTGTGAAATGAAAAATATATAACAGCCTTTGAAAACATTTCATTACGTATTTCACTGAGTGAGGGAACTGTTTCTCTGCTCCTCAACAGAAACAGTAAGTGTTCCCTGAACCCCATACATTCATGATGGAGTCCTTTTCATTGTCTTGTTAACAAAGTGGAAAAAAGTCCAGATGGATGCTAGTTTGATTGATCTCCAAATGACAAATGTAACACATTGAATTAATCCACCCAATGGCTTGCCTTGCCCATTCTGGAGAGACATGTGTTCAAAGTTAAATGAACATAACCAAAGGGAAGAGGGCATTTAACATGCTTGGCTCCAGTTTTCAACTTTCTGAAACCAGCACAAGAAAGAGTGGGAAGCAGTGTTTTATTCATGATTGTGTTATTGCATTGACACCTACTACTTTTAGAATTCACCAATAAACTGCAGCTGAAGACATTCAATGGCATTTTGGGCTTAGGTTGTCCATAGAGCACATCCTTCAAATTATTATACTCACATAAAAAGATACCATGTTTTCTAGACGAACTTAAGCCTCAAATCAAACTGAGCATAGACAAAATACAACTTCCCTTTCTCTGAAATTAATTCAGCTTCAGCACAATGTAAATGGCCTCAGATCCAATGTTACCCGTCTTGATTAACCCATTCAGATTGATACCAGATTTATAAATTTGGCTTACAGTTTATCTTCAGAAAGAAGAACTACATGAAAATAACACCTATGGATTTGGCCTATCGTATCTGGGCAAAGAAACGCTAGTTCAGATCATCTGAAGAATATAGTAATCATTTCAGGCCAAGTACACCTCTCTCCTCTTTAATATTACATCATTTCTAGATAATTCATTACCTATCCAAGTGGCAAGAAAGAAATACTATCGTTGCTGTTGTACGATAAACTGTGAATACAGTCCAGGGCGGACTAAATTCAGCCGGAACTCATTCTTAAGGATAGTTGGTTGAAAGTAGACCTCAAAGGTTTGAAGAAAATACTTGGAAGTAACAGCAAGGGAACGGGTACACTTAACATAACCATTTTCTTCAAAGAGACTAGCATGCTTGAGAATGCTTCAAAACTGCTAGCATGCTGGGAATGATGTTTTTGCTATGGGAAGTCATTGAATATTATTTAACAAAGCCATCATCCTGACCTTATTACGTCGAGCAAGTTCTATTCAGATCCCCTTTCCCAAAGAGGTACATCTGGCAAGACCCAGAAGAAGACCCTTCTCCCTGATGGCGCCCTCCCTCCATTTGGAACACCATCCCTGCAGAGATTTGACTGCCCCTCACTCTGATACTCTTTCGCATGGCTCTGAAGACCTGGTTTTGCCAGCGGGCCTGGGGAACCCAGAGTGGGATGGAGCACATCCAGAGGCTTGTTTGATTGCTTGCTGTCGCCATTAGGGTGGAGGGTTATTGTTTTTACTCTTTGTATATTGGGTTTTTATTTTTTTTTGTAAGCCACCTGGAGTCACGGAAAGTGAGCGGGTGACCATACAGATTCTCTGAGTAAAGAAACAAATTCAATTCTCAGTCAGCCCATTTTACCTGTTTCTGATTCTGCTGCTATCTGTGCCAGAAGTGGAAGTGGCCCTGGAGACCCTGCGTTGGCAGTAGACCCTCCAGAAATGCCAACTGAACCTTCTGATCCTGCTGGTGACACCCCGACAGGAAGGATGTTGATGTCACCATCTCCTTTCTTCTGAATTTTAATGGACCCTTGCTTTTCCAGTTCATGGATCTTCTTCTCTAGTGTTGACTGCCGCTGAATGGCTTCCTCCTTTTCTTTGACCATTTTTCTTAGCGTGTGGACTTGTGTATTTGCATCTTTGTATATTTCCTGCAAAGGAACCCCCAGGAAAAAGAAGAAGAATTCATTTCATTTGAAAGACAGGGCAGTGTCAAAAGAAAACATGGGATTTCCAATACCTGGGAACATATTGTAATGATGGTTTTCTTTCTATATAAGTTAATGAAAAACATATTCATCTGAAGTAAATGCACAGGTATGTATGCTGACAAACAACTTTAGCTAGGTGAATCAAAGGAAATTGCCCTTCCTTCTGTTGGTTCTACTATGATTGTCCCCTCTTCTCCCACTTTTTTAGATATGGCTACGCACAAAGTATATGAAAATGTTCTGTAATTAAGTGTATCCATCTAGAATCTTGAAAGCAAGTAAATGCAGTGTACGATATTCCAGAACTAAGATCCAAAGGGATTTATGTGAACTCTAAATGTAATGCTTCCTGTTTTAAAAATAAAACCTCATACTGTGTCAAAGTGTCTAGATCAAAGGGAAACATGCAGCTAATAAGCTGAGAGACATGAAAGAAGACCTTTATATACTTCTTGGAGTTACAAATTACCATCATGCAGCAAGGCACAGACATATGTATACTTTCTATATACCAGCAATTGCAAAATGGCAGATAAGATATGCTTAGACAAAGGAATAAAAATATTTAGATTTTAATGGCACAATGCAAGTAGTATGATGTTCAACTATAAGCAATTGGAAATGCAAAGATACATCTAGAAGCAAAGTTTGAGAAGCTATTAAACATTAATATCTGAACTTTTAGAAAACTTACTCGTACAACATCCAGTTCTTTGTTTCTTTGCATAAGTTGTTTTTCCAGTTCCACAATTTTCGCCATAGCTTCATTTTCTGTGTCTTGAAGTTTTTCTGATAACTAGGTATTATTAAAATGAGAGATTAGTTGGTAACAAAAGTCTCACAATGAACTCTGATATGGGGACCTTCAGAATTACAGACATTATCCCACTCATGTAAATAGTACCTGAAATTTGACATGTCTATTAGAAAAAAAGTATTGCTGCCAAATGTAAACAAGCCAGGATTTTGTATTCTAGATGGTAAAAGAACATGCATCATTCTCAGTACTTCATACTGATTTATCACAACACACACAAATTTAAACTTGGGTAGGGTGAGTGTGATACTCAGGCACACTTTTACCATTTCTGGGGAAGATGCACTATCATCACTTTAGTACAATTGTACTTTTGGTACCATTTTGTTCTTAGTTCAAATTCCCAGAAAAATCTCATAGGCCAGGAGAAAGATATGATTTCTGTCAACTAATTTAATTATTTTTCTGTTAACTAATTTAATTATTTTTTTTAAAATGTTGCTCTTAATTAATATTTTTCTTGGGTCTGAAAGCCATCTTCTAGATATTTTTTGCTCTGAAAGACATAAATGGCTCAATTTCTCAAACTAACTTTCTTAATGTGGGCTACATTTCAGCTACATTTATTCTGTAATAAGGAGAATACCACGAATGGAGCAAAATATGTAACTTTACTACAGAAATTGATTTTCTTTGATTATACTACAGAGTATAAAGATTCCATTTAATTTTCCATTGATTCATTCTGTGGTGTTCAGTGCAGTCACTGCATTGTCACTTTTCTCATTCTTTGGACAACTGCAGATACAAACTGAAGAAGATCCAGCCACAGTTTAATTATACACTTAAATAAATAACGTATAGCCAATTGGTTGGAATTAAGCCAGGATATGAAGCTGTGGTTTGGAGCTGGCTTCTGCACCCTGCCTTGTTTGGAATCAGTAACAACTTCCAGGCAAGGGCAAGCAAATGTTTACTGTGACTTCTTGGTGTATATCACTGCATGCATGGTGGTTTGGCTCATTTTGCAGGAATAGAATTAGATTCACATAACTGTTATGCTTCAGCAATGTGCTGAGCACCAGTGGTGGGATTCACATTTTTTTACCACCAATTCGGGGTATGTGTGTGGCTCGGTGGGTGCGCTTTGCACGTGTGCAGAGCATTTCTTACTGACCTTCTCCTGCAATGCTGCACTCTCCCTGTGTTGTAAACAGCTGACGCATGGCAATCTCCTATGCCGTGCAAAGCAGCTGAGCTTCAAAACCAGGAAATAAAGGTCAATACAGAGCCAGGGCGGGTAGGCAGGCCCAGTAGCTGATTGTCGGTGCGAACTGGTTCGCTTACAGATGATCCTCAGAGCTACCGGTTTGGCCAAACCGGTAGAATACCACCCCTGCTAAGCACACATACATATACACACATACGCTTTGCCCTTTAACCTTGGTCTCCATAAGATCAAATAATAAAATTCAGATCCATCCATTCTATTCCCATTTAATCTCTATTACTGAACAAAGTCAAATGCACAAAATATACTGTGCTATTTGTGTGCATACTTTTAAACTATGACACAGCTGAGTATGTTCTATACAACTATGGGTTTATGTTCAATTAGTAGAAACAAGTGACATGATAACAGCTTTGACGGTTCAGTTATTCTTCCAAGTGATTGCACCCGAGATTGTAAAACTGAATTCGCTAGAGCTATATTTGAATCATTGTCCTAGTAAGAAAAGAAGAGTTTATATAATATATGAAACAGGTTTTAATTGGTAGTATTAAATTTTAATGGGTGCAAAACTGCAGGATGAGAAAATTAGGAATGTCTAAATATTTCCCCTCGATTCCACCATCATAAGAACATAAAAGACAGGCTGAATCAAATATCTCTCTAGTCCTATTTTCAGATTGACCACAAAGACCCAGGGTCTGGGTGAAATAGCAGCCATCCACCTTTATTCCACATGCACTGGGATTTGAGGCAGTGCTATTTTTGATAATCATGGGAATATATTGGTCAATGCTATGCTTGTCTTTCTAATTTTATCTAATAAAGGCTTTCCAATAATCATCATAACTTCTACAACCACAGCTAGCAGTTCAACTATGCGCTCCTGAAAAATTGCTTTCTTCATGGACTAGATGAAAACTGTTGTTTAAATGAAGTGGAAGTCTGAGATAAAATTTCCTTTTCTACAGCTTAGTTTTTTCCAATTCTTTAAAAAAAAAAAAAAGAGGAAGCAATAATTATCACAAAGTAAGCAAAAATGTTTTATCAGAAGAAACAGGTGTATAATAAAAATACATTTGTAATCACAACCTAATGTTTAGAGCCAATGGTTCTTATTATATCTATCTATATATCTACGTATCTATATGCGCGCACACATACACACTTAAATATTTTCCCCAATGAAAATAATCTATATCGTTTTTCATGCATCCCCATAATAAATATTTTCAAAGAATTAGAACTGATACTAACATGAGATATATTTTCTTCCAATTCTTCAACTCTTTCTAAGGCAGCATTCTTGGTCTCAGCATCTTCAAGCAAAGCTCCCACATCAAAGACATTGTCCAGGTAAGCCTGTATTTGCACTTGTAGCTTATCACTTTCAGTGTGTTTCAGCTTCTAGAAGGTCAACAGCAAATTAATCAATCAATTAAAAAGCCCTATCAAATGAACCTGGCAGCATCCAACGTTTCAACTTTGCCACACGTTGATGTGATTAATCAAATGTATTTATTTACTTACTATGGAATTTCTATCCCACTATATCCTAATAACTCTAGGATGCAAACTGAATATAGATTAGCATTTGTATATTAAATTGAGAGACAATTCCATAGGTTCACTTAAAAAGGGGATGGGATATTGCAAGTTAAGTCCTTTTTCTTCTAGCAATAATTCAGATATTCGGATTTCTGCCCAGAAGTATAGAAACACATCAAGTTCCTACAATTCAAGGCAATATGTTTATAGAGAACATCAAGGTTTTAGAAGATAGGAATTTTGAAGAGTATTTTATAAAATGTGTAAGATTGATCTATACTTCAGAGAAAAAAACCCAATAATTGTTACTGGAGATCTAACAACTTCCTATGAAATATAAAAAGGAAAAGACAGGAATGCCCATTTCTCCACTGTAGTTTATTTTGGTTCTTCATATACTGAATAGCGATACAAGAACCAGTTGAAAGGATTGTGAAAGAAAAGGTTTAAAATGAAACTTAAGGGCTTTTGCAGATGATTTGGTATTGGTTCTGCAAGTTCCCTTAAAGGGAATTGAAATATTAATGGCCAAATTAAAATAATTTCTTCTCATGCAGGAATTTAACATCAGAAGTCAGGTATTATGTAACATAAATATTCTTGTCATAGTAGGTAGCAGTATTTCTGATGATTTTATATAATAAAAAAGCGGAAACACAGCAAGAGCAGCTGACCTCTTAAGCAACAAAACTTTAGTTTTTGTTTCGTGCCACATGTTCCTATGAACTGATACAACAGGATAAGAAATATAAGAGCGATTTCAGATGGAGAAACAGGATATATAAAAGCTTAAATGTGGACATTATCAGCTAATTCCTAACAGGTATAATAAGAGAAAATCTTTGAGCTGTATCCAATTGTACATCTGCTTACAATTTTCTGTTGCCCCTCCAAAGCCTGATTTAGCACGAGCAACTGATCGGTGGTTGGATCAGCCTCCCAGAATATCAACTGTTCCAGGCAGCGGGGATCGCTACCGCCAATCACCACCACCCTGTTTTCTGCCTCTGAGCATCCCGTTTTCGGCCCATTCCAGGCAGCAGGGATTTGACGGCGACCATTGGCAACGGCGATCCCCACCACCTGAAACAGGACATGCAGAGGCTGAAAATGGGGCGTGTGGAGGCAGTGATAGGCGGGGATCCCTGCCGCCTGGAACGAGCCAAAAACGGGAAGTGCGGAGACTGAAAAGGGGGTGCGCGGAGGCCAAAAGTGGATGCCAAAAACGGGACATGCAGATGCCGAAAACAGGGCACACGGAGGCCGAAAATGGCCAGCGAGTGGGCGGGGCTTTGGCAATATTCGCTCCATAAGACATTTCCAGCCACTTTTAGAAGACAAAAAAGGGCATCTTATTGAGCAAAATATACAATAATTATATCCTTGAGTTCCCATAGTGCCAATGAACCAACTGATAGAAGGCAGAAAAAAAATGTAGATATCTAAAGCATAAATATTAAGCTAGAACCACAAAGACTAGACTTGAAAAGGACTCAAAGAAACATAAACAAAATAAAGGAAAGGATTCTGTAAAGCAAATTTCCTCTAGCAAGGAAAAGTCCTGACTTTCTGATGATTTGGCAGATGGTTTAAGAACTGCAGGCACCCCAAACCTCCTACCAACAGAACTGGTCTCGTAGGTGAGCAGGGCATAAATAAGACGGTACTATCACTCTGTGGAACTACTGCAGCCAAATAAAATCCTTGAAATTCCAAAAATGCACATAGAAGCAGCTCTTTTTAATGAAACGCATAACAAAAAGAACAGCAATCAATACTACTTCATGAGAAACTAGTTGACTGAAGCAAATATCCAGGAGGGAAAAAAAGAAGAAGGAACATTCTTTCAGCCACATTTAGGGGAGAAGTTTGTCTGAGTTCACAACGTATAATTCAGCTACAGATTGTCTCAAAGAGAACTACAGAAGTGTGGAGAAACATCTAATGTGTGGGGCACAGAGACCATCATGACAACAGATTATCATGGAGTCTTTTAGATAGGCCTCTATTATGCCAAAGTCTTACACCAGCTTAAATTTATTGCACAACAATTTTATTTATTTGTTGGATGTATATCTATCTGCTGTTTTTCCAAAAACTGAAGGCAGCTTACATGGCTATGCCTCTATACTACTGTTCTTCTGAACCCAGTTTCTCAAGTCCTGTTTCTGACAAGATGAAAAAGGAAATAACTAATAGCATGAATCATATAATATTACATGATGGAATATTTTCCTCTTTGAACTGTAGACCTTACTATTATGAATGGTTTATCTTAATCTTCACAAGCAATGCCTGAAAAACAAAGGTCAAGCTGTCTTAGGGTAGTTTCTGTGACAAAATAATTCACCAAATGAAATGTTTAGATAAAGTATGCAAACTTTCTATTATGAATCATTCACTTAAAACCATGTAAGTGTAAAATGGAGATCCAGATCAAAATCCACATTCTTTTAAGAAAACAAAAAGAAGGATTTGCCAATCCCTCTCTAGGCTGCAGTTCAGAATTACAACGCATACTTTTTCTAGAGAGGGTCCCATTCCCAGATACAAATTACCAGCATGTACTAGGATGGGAGAATAACCTCATTTGAAACCCTGGTTAGCCATTGTCAGTTAATGCTCCCTATATGTGCCAGGCTTCCAAGTCTGAAATTCCCAACCAGTATGCCAAAGTATATGCTATCATAACATTTCATTTAGAAGTCAGGTCCACCAAATCTGGAGAGCACCAGGTTGCAAAAGACTAAAATAAAAAATATGAGGGAAGTGATGTGGGGAGAGAAATGATGAAGGACATAATGAGAAAGATCAATATATTCTACTTATGTTGTATTATGTGGCTTTCAAATGAATGAATGAACTTCTGAAGTTACGTGTACCTCTTTTTTTTCATCACAAGCAAAAAATCCAGAAATGATATCCAAATAAAAAACCATAATTAAATATATTCTCCTCTTTGAATAAAACAATCAATTTAACCATTCCTGCTTCATATTCCTTGCTGTGGAAATAATATGTATTTCTATTTGCACCTACTAATCTTTATAAACTTTCACCATTTATATTAACAACATTCACTGTATTCTTTCAGATTCTTTAACCTTAAAGGTAAAAACACTTTTATCATCCATTATAAAACACTAAACTTTTATTTAAAAACATTTCTGAAATCAAAACTTTCTAATACATCTTTTTTATCTTCCTCTGAACATGCATACTTTAAAATTCACTATTACATTTTTATTAAATCACTCCCTCCAAGTTACCCTCATAGAGTAATTTTTCTTCTTCTTATATATATATATACTAACTCTAAACTTTTAAAAAACTTTTTATCAGTTTGATATTTGTAATTGAAAGAAAGTCTTAATCTAAAGTTTTAAAAAGTATTTTCCTTCATATATAATGCTTAAGTGATTTCTAAAGTTTGTGATATATTATTGAAAGTATATTTGAGAGTATCTGTGTTAAGAGAAAGTTAATTAAGTTATGAGTTCCTCTTGACTGTCGTTTCTCAGTCACATCCGTATTGTATTTGCCTATACTACTGCTTATTATTATTCCCTCTAAATCACTGCTACCAAGAAGGCAGTTATCAACTGAGTTTTGTAGCTCAACAACAGGGACAGCAATGAGCGAAATGCTCAGAAGACAATGACTGAGCATGTTCTAACACTTCTTTCTGAAAAGAAGGATCAGTACAAGAAGCATGGGGAATTACTAGTACTCTTGAAATGTAGCCAACTATATCAGCAGCAATCAGCGAAGAGGAGATGCACGTAATACATAGTTCCCTACAACACAAGTCTGTGCAACATATGGTTTCATTCACTTCTCTTGGCACTGTAAATGGGTGGCGAGTCACTTCCTTATAAAATGCAGAGACCCACTCTGTAAAAGTTCATAGATGGAGTAAAAACACTGAACATTCAACACATAAAAAAGAGCACCAGTTACCCAGATGAGTGATCCATAGGACATGAAGAGGTATCACAGCATCAATGAGAAAGGAACAACAGAAAATAAGGAGTCCATAATGATGATTTTTGAAGAAGGAGAAATCATATAGCTTGTCCACTATTGTAACTGCTTTTTAACAGCAATATTTTTTTTAAAAAAAGGCAGCTTAAAACAAGCATCTGATAGAATATAAGATATAATACTGCACAAGGTGCATCTTTTTTACTAATGCAAAAATTTAAACAACTATTTAAAACTCCATCCTCCACTCTTTGTAAGAACAGGAAAGTGTGGTATGTGATTTTAGAGTTGTCTGTTTATTGGATTATTTTTATAATATGATTGTATTTAAGAATGGTCAACACTTGGCAATTGCTGAAAATAATTCAGGTAGTCCTCGACTTACAATAGTTCATTTAGTGACTGTTCAAAGTTACAATGGCACCGAAAAAAGTGACTTATGACCATTTTCACGGTTATGACCTTTGCAGCATCCCCATAATCATATGATCAAAATTCAGAAGCTTGGCAACTGATTCATATTTATGACAGTTGCAATGTCCTGGAGTCATGTGATCACCTTTTGTGACCTTCTGACAAGCAAAGCCAATAGGGAAGCCAGATGCACCTTAACAACCGGGTTACTAACTTATCAACTGCAATGGTTCACTTAACAACTGTGTCAAGGAAGGTCGTAAAATGGGGCAAAACTCCCTTAAGAAATATCTCACTTAATAGAAATTTTGGGCTCAATTGTGATCCTAAGTCGAGGACTACCTGGAATAATGTAAAAACAAAAGGCCTCCCTGTGGTTCTTAATATGGCAAGTGCCAATTATCTCTCTGTATGATCAGATCCGAGTGCAATGCCTAATAGTCTCAAATATCACAATAGTCCCCATTTCTAAAGGACACAGAATAATCCAAAGCTGAATGTACTTACATCCAGATATTCATCAAGGCCTAGCTTTGTAAATTCATACTGGAGATGAACTCTGAAATTCATATCTTCTACCGAGTGTACTACTATGTTGATGAACTGCATGCACGCCACCTGCCAAGAGAAAAAAATTGTCATAATAAGGTGCCCTATATATTTTTTTTATCTCACCACAACTCCAAGGTTACATCTAAGATTTAGGCAAGGATAGAGAGAAGCAAAATTATACAAATGCAGTTAAAGAATCCTTGCAGAAATTATATTTATCAACGCTGTGCCCGGATCCAGATTCCAAGCTACCTGATCCCATAAAAAGACTTGTTTGGTTTTAAGGGCTCCCTGAAAAGTGTTATGCGCAATTCATCGCTTTCCAAATGATATTTTGCTCTTCCAGTTGGAATTACTGTACGGCTGTAATTCCAAGTTGGAAAGTGGATTCCTGATCAAAGGGCGAATCAAACCCATTCAATATGTCCCATAATGGAGATGTATTCAACAAGACCTTCTCCTAGGAAGTGAGTACAGAACTGCAACAACCTTCTGATGTCCATTAATCATTACATTTTATGAAGTACAAGTGAAACACCGTGTGTGTTTTATAATTCTGCAGCAACACTGAACAAATGATAACTAATACTCGCAGGAATAATTCAAAGTTCTAAACCTCAGGTGCTTCGACCTAAATATATTCAGCTGAGCAAGACAGCAGTGTCCAAAAAAAAAAATAAAAAAAATCAAGAAGCATAGCCCTGAGGTAAAAATCATTGGAAAAAAAAAACATTTTTCTATTTCTCTAACTATAGGACAGCTGTAGAGAATAATGGAAATGAGGCATGACAGAATAATTCAAAAGTTTCTATAAGTCAGGATGTTACTTTTCTTGATGCAGTAAGCAATGACAGGTCTTTAAACTTCCTGTCATCAAAGCTCGCATTTCACTTTGCTAGCTTTGGCTGCAAATCTGAAACCTGACTTGATACAAACCACTACAGCAAAAAATGGTCTTGATCAAGTAAGTAGCTACTGGGGAAGGGGGGTGGCGCTATGGACAAATCCAGATTTCCACACTAATCATACACCTCAGTAAGGAGTAGGAGCTATTGGCTACTGAAGCAAAGTATCTGGAGTGTTTTAAAAGCACTCTGTCAAGCTCACTGGCTTGACAAGAACAGCTGGGTCTCTTCAAGATCTCCTTCTGTTCTTTGTATCATGAAAAGAGCTGTCCAGGATTCATGTCTGGCTAAAAACAGTTTAAAGAGATCATTTCACTGACATGTCACCCTAATTGCTCAAGTTTCTGCAATATGAAAGAACCCCCAGAAAAAATTAGAAACTAAAATGGTTACATAATGAAAGAGGACTCAGGAGATCATAATACAATGTTCCAGGTTTTTCTGGCATACAGCATGTTTGCTTCATACCTACACATGAATTTACCATAGTATCCAAGCATGTGCCGTTAATTCTCAACCACACCTTCCACAAAACCATTGCATTGAATCACAGCAAGGAAGGTAAATGAAATTGATAAATCAATCAAGACATGCAAATGCTAACTTAAACCCAAGATGCCAGTTTCCTAATTCTTCTATATATTGTAAAAATATATCTCAATGGTAATTTAAAGCATGTCTTTATTTTGCAAATAACAGCATAATGTGCTGTTCTAAAGAATGCCAGGATTTTTCACCTTGTCTTATTTTAGGCACTATACTGCTGGGAGAAATGTAACTACTTAGATTTCTTTGCTCCCAATTTTCCACCAACTATTACAAAGAAAGGCAAGGGAATATCCCAGCAAACTACTGAATAGGTTCTGAAGTTTAATCCAATACAAAGATAATGTCAAGTCTCCTTCAAGTTGATTTTTACTCCAAGTGACTTCGTGGATTTGTCTATGTAATGTTCTTAGCAGCAATATTCTTCTATGATGTTTTTTTGTCTTTCCGATCTAGCTTACAATCCTGCTATTTATTCCCTTGAGGTCTCCCCTCCAAGTGTTAACACCACGGTAGTGCTTAGCTTCTTTGTTCAGAAAAGGTTGGCTGGATGCTTGGCTGAAGAAAGACAAATATTCACATGCTTAATACTTCTTGAAGTATGACAGAAGAACATTCATTTTCATTCTTCTACTCCAAATGCTCTTTCTTCCCCTTCCCCCTGTTTTTAGGCCTATTTAGTCACTGCTCCATTGATAGCAGAGTTCATATTGTGTATTAGAATTGTGTTCCTCTCGCTTCAAAAGAGAACTCAATAACCTGGGGGTGGGAAAGGAATATGGCCCAGAATATGAAAGCTGAGGGAGAAGTCACACATTTGTAAACAAAATATATGCACACACCTACCATGAAATCTATATTATTATCTTCATTTCGAAAATGTTCCATCAACTTCTCAAACCGCTGTTTTTCCCCACAAACCTGAAAAGAAATTGCAGAGTGATTCTACTATGTATCAATTCATTAGGAAACATGTTATAACATCATCAAACCATTTTAACATAGAAATATACAGAATTAGAGGGAATGTTGCCCTGGACAAATAGATATTGACAACTGGTTCATCCATTAAGGCTAGGAAGCGATAAAAGGAAACCAGGCCACCAAAGAACATGATCACTGGACACCATCAAAGCTGACACCAGCCAGAGCAGAAAAACTCAGAGAAGTAGTGCATGATCGGACGATGTGGCAAGATCTGGCCCATAGAATCGCCAAGAGCTGGACCTGACTGAATGGATAACATCATCATCGAACTATAGTCCAGTTCCAAAAGAAAAAGCCTTCAATTCACATACTCCTCCTTCAAAATTAGTAATATTTTTTTACTTAAATTCGCATTTATTCGGATTAACTTTAAGTCAAAGGGAGAAACAAAATATCATTTGCAACTGTTGACTATGTTACAAGAGAACATAAGGAATTATCATCTAAAAATGCCATTTCAGACCAATGTCTTTAAATATCCCAATGTTTGTCAAAACATTCTCAAGTGTATGGCTTGTAACCCTTTTAGAAACCAGTATTTATTTATTTACTTACTTACTCCAATTTAGATGCTGTTCCAATCACACTGACTTTGATAAGCCCGTACACAAGACAAAAACAAAACAAAACAGGAAAACAATCCAATAACAACGGTGCCTCTCAATTACTTTTGTGCACCTCTGTATGTTTTTAAGAAAACAAAAACAATAAACAGGCAAGCAAACATCCTTTGTACATCGAACATTCACATGCATAGACAGAAAGCAGCTTTTTACGTATACAGTAAGTTTTGGATTCCAAAATGAGTTTCCAGGCTGTATCCACACATATTCCCTTGCCATATGGAAGAGATGAGAAGCTTTAGTGTCCATCTTCAACTACTTATAATAGAGAGCATGGGGGGTGGAGGGGCAGTGGCAGTGGCAGTGGGTGGGACCAGAAAAATGAACCCCATCCCATTTTCTGTCTCTTGTAAGTGTCATCCAATGCCCCTATGGTGTTTTTTTATTGCCTAGTTGGGCTTTCCATTCTGATGTTGTTGACTTCCCCTGATTACTTTTTTAGAATTCTTTTTAGAGATTTAGAGATTATAGATTTTTATTTTAGTGTTCATTTTAACTGTAGGTACTTAGGAAACCATTCTTAACCCTGGCTTTAACAAATATATTATTTCATCAATTGCTGAGTAAAATAGGAGAAAGAAAATTAACCATTTTTCCCAATAAAATTAAGTTTCCGGGCATAAGGTCCCTACTGTTCTTATTAGACTCCAGAATTAAGCATGAAATAATTTATTTGTTCCAAAAGAATTGGATTATCATATGTATTACAACTTCTAGAAATTATTATATGCATAATTATTAGACTGAACTGTAACCTTAAACACAACATTTTCCTTCCTTCAGTTTATTTTATTTATTTACTTACTTATTTACTCAGTTGTATATATTTTGACACGAATTTAAGTATACTAAATTGAGAGCAAAATTTCAAAATTTCAATCCTTTTTAGTAAATATGTTTGGAATTGGAATGTTAATGAAAACAGAATTACAATTGCCTATTTAAATATGGCACATAATATTTTAATAAGTTCTTTTTCACAAGAGATATAGACCAACATGCACCTGCCAAAAATAATCTAAGGAGTAATAATACCTGGTATAAATTGCTTTTATATTTGGGCAAAACAACTGTTGTGATTGTTAAGTGTGCTGAATGATGTGGAATGAGATTTTGTGTGAATGTGGCAATCTGATACTGCAATTTGAAATACTTGGATCATGTGTGTGTCATAAAGAAATAGGAGACCAAATGGGCAGCCATGCTTCAATACTTTTCCCTAGCTATTACTAACAATACCTGAAGGTGGGGAAGAAATCCCAACATATGAAAGTGTTAAAATGATCCATTGTTAAATTGCTTATTTAAACATTAATATAGCACTTTACTAAATATTTTATCTATCTCTCTGTCCCTCCTTCCCTACCCCCCCCTTCTGTATGGTGATTTCACAATAATCCCTTTTTATTCTTAACATAATGGTCTGGTGTAATCCGCCAATTTTACTCCAGGGGTGGGCTGTTTTGAGAGAACGTTTCTTATAGATTGCCATGAAGTCCCAACAGTTTGTTGAAGCAACAAAAGCCCAATTTTCTTGACATTTCTGCTTAGGCAAAGAGTAATTTACTAGGCTGAAAACATTTTCTGTTTTAATCGATTTTTTTTTAAAAGAAAAATAAATTGGCCATATCAATTACAGATTACAACTTCAGAAATTGGCTCAGGTCTTATGTACTGGTTCTAAAATCCTAAAATTAAATATCTACACTTAATGATCCACAAAGATAAAGCTCGTTGGCAGTAAATTCTTCTCCTGACATACCCTTCATAGTTTAAATCTCTATTCATCTCTGTATCAATCCCAGATTCAAGAATATCCTTTTACGTGCTTTGGGAGAAGCAAGAAGGAAAAACTAAGAGCTAAAATCCATGAGCTGATCTTCGGAAACTTCCTATCACTGACTCAACATCCTGGTGCTTCACAATGTTAATGATATCTGGGTCATCTCTTACAATTTCAGTGTAATTTTCTTCCAAGCAGTTATATTGAGAATGGCAACCACTTATTTCTACCGTTATCTTATCTGAAGATAAAATGGGTTGATGGGCACCACAATGCCATGAAAAACAGAAAAAGGCCACTTCATAAAACATACTGATCTAATTTATATCTTTGAACATTTTTACTTTATGTCGGACACAATGGACAGAATTTTCAAAACATCAAAAGTTGATAAAGAAGCTAAACAGAGCTGTGTATACGAAATAATGTACTAAAATGCCCCTAACTGATACCTAGCGCAATGACTGTTTTCACACATTATACTTAACCACAGAGGCTGATTAGTTGGCTTATGCTTGAGCACAGATTCCTCAATCATGAAGCTAGGAATCATCATTTATTTACAATTACGTTAACCAAATAGAGAACAAACAATATTTTGGTCTGGAGTTAATCAGAAGATATAGACATACCATAGCTTATTTTACATCAACTTTAGTAAGTAATCAATCTTTACTCCTTGCGTTTCAGGACTGGAAACAACTCAAGTAACAAAAATCCAAGCGTTCTGATTAACACAAAAATTCCAGGGAATATTTTTATATATAATAACTCTGGGGCAGCAAAACTGTTCTCCATTCTTTACTTTTTCTCTGCTGCAGAATGGAAAAATACTTGCCTGTTTTATGAAGGACATGCAGTCTGAATCTGTTGTCAATCTTTTTTTTAACTCTCAACTTTTCTATCTTTCCGATTAGCTTAAATATATTTTTGTCTTTTATTTAGAATTTGTTAAAAATTAAAATACGCTTATTATTTGTTTATAAAACTACCATGGAATGGATTACCGATGCTCCTGATTTGAAAAAAAAAAAAAGGTGGGGGGAAGCATTGGCTACAGGCAGGTGTATTTGTGTATTTATGCATTTAACATGTTATACCACCTTCAAGTAGAAGTCATAGGGGTTTTATTGGAGGGGGCGAGGTTTCTATCAGGGAGAAATTATTTTATTAATGATATTTTATTTTAAAAATAATCCAAATTTAAATTTCTGAATTAAATAATGTATAAAAATATTACGGTTAGCAATATTATATGGGAATGGATATCATCTTCACTAAAAAGGTTTACCACTGGAAGAATAATATTTTTATTAATTAAAAAAATAAATCAAAATTGAACCCATATATATAAGCCCAGATATTCAGAAAAGAAAAAAAGAATATAATGTATTGTGAAGTTTCAGCAGGGTTGATTACGATGATATAAAACAAAAATGAACTCATGTCACAATATTTAAGATAACTGCAATATTTTTGTAATTTATTTATCCCAGGATGTTTTAAAGGGAGGATTAAATTAGATTAAACTACTAGAACCAGTTCCAAATGTCTGCTTGACTTCCTGCCTATTCAGTTGTTCATAAACAAAAAGTTAATAGGTCTTCATTTATCATTCTAATAAAGTAAAGACCTTTCCTGTTCTTTTGATGCTCTATGGATAACAATACTGATGTGTAATAAATGTAAATCTGTGATAGGGGAGAACATATATTAATAGACACATATATTAAACATATATTAATAGACACTTTTTTCAGTGACAATATATTTAGATGCCTTTCTGGGCGAGCTTTATTCCTGCAATAAATGAAAAGTTCTTCCTAAACATTTGTAGGACAACCAAATGTCTTCTCTCGAGAAACTCCTCTCTCTTCTATGTCATCAATATTATAATTTTCCAGCACTTAAACTGAAAAAAGTTGTTACCGAGGAAATGATCCTCCAGCACTCTATTCCTACCCTGCCATTAGGACAGTGTGCTGGCTACAACACTCAGTTACTGAATATTGTCCAATACAGTAAGAAGTAAGAAAGAAGAAATAACAGCATCTGCATGAATTTTATTCACAGGCAGGCTTTGACAGAAGACCATAACGAAGTCTGCCCATTACAGTTGAATGTGGTAGTCGTTTTTGGCAAAAATGTTGTAGAATGTGGTCACATGACCACAGGATGCTGCAAACGGCTGTAAATGCAGCCCTGTGGCCAAGAGCCCAAAGTTAACTCACATGACTGTAGGGGGGGATGTCCGACCATCAGAACTTTGGAACCGGGTCCCCTGTTTAAGGTTGGCTGTAAGTCCAAATGGTCACTAAATCACCTATCATAACACAGGTTGTGTTCTCTCAAGAAACAGAGGGATCCCGACTTCCGGTTTGAGCTTCTTCAGCGACAGACCGAAACCTCGTCTCTGCGAGGCTTTGATCCGTGCTCGCTGCTGGAGCGCCCCGAGCCGGCTGGTTTCGGGGCTAAGCCACCCCGTAGAGGTGGTGAAGAGGGGGGAGACTGCCAGCAGTGTTGAGGAGAGCCGCATCTCTCCTCCTCAGCTGGCCATTACTCCCTTTCCCAAAGGCAGTTGCAGCGGTGGTCAGAAATGGCCACCACAAAGAAGAACTCGACCGGAAAAGAATGTGCAGGAGGAAGATAAGAAGAGGAAGTTTTGGTTGACTGGGTCAAACAGCAAAAGCAACAAATAAGGTACCCTGGAATTGAAGCTGTTAAAAAACAATAACATTGTTCCCTAAGAAGATTTTTAAGCTGCGAAAGAGAGAGAAAAGGAAAAAGATTTGGTTTTATCCTTTTCCTATACTGACAGCTAAGAGACTTAAGCAAGAAATTGGGAAAAAAATCCACTTTGACATCAATAGGCATTTAATGCTGAAAATAAAAAGTCAAAGGGATAATAAAGATTTCTGGATAATTAAAAGCTTTTGAAAATAGGAAAGGAGAGAGGAAGAATAAAAGGGCAGGATATGGAAGGGAGGAGACTGCCTGGAATTAAAAAAGAACTTACAGCAAAATCTCAACAAGACTTCCAAAAGATACATTCTAACTGAAATATCGCAACAAAAACCCCAGGAAGACAAAGTCGAAAAAGAAATAAGAAGATATAACTCGGGACTATCTGGATTACTTGATGATTTCTGGATTTTTGGTTATTGTATTTGAATGACTAAAATCAATTGGGTGGTTATTTAAAACTTTTTAAAATGGCTCCACTTTTAGAAGAACTGAAAATGGAACTTAAAAAGTACAAAGAAGATGCACAAGAAGGGAGAGGTTCTTTTGGCTTCGTATTTCAGTTTTTAGAAATGGAGATTTGGAATTATGAGAAACAAGAAGAAATGCCTGCAGAACAAGAAGATTGCGACAAAGAAGAAGCCATCTTTAATGAACAAGTAATCTTAGATGGGGGGAAAAAAGGAAAGGGGAGAAAGAGAATGGAAAGTTTAAGATTGGGAAAAACAACTCCAAAAAAAAAAATAGAGTGAAAAATAAGTATAAAATCAGAAAGCAACAGAAGAGGAAAATGCAGAAGAGAGAATTAGAACTAGAGAGAAAAGGGGGTAAAAGGGGGAGGGAGAAGATGAGAGGGAAGAAAGAAAGGAAAAGAAGTTATAAAGGACAGAAGCAAAATATAGAGAAACAGTCACCTGTAGTCACCTACATAGCTTTTCCCAATGGTTTTTGCACCAATCATCTGTGCTGTCTTAAAAGTAAATAAGTGTAGAAGTGGGCAATTAGGACTCTAGCTCTGAAACAGAAATTAGACAACATTTATAATGACATGTTCATCTGTTTCTAATCAGCAGTCCTGAATAACTTAATTTTAGCATTTAAAGTGAATGGGAAAAAAACCAAAGCCAAATACTGGAATATATATTTCCCTTCTGAAATTGTCTTTTCATTTTGGTTGCTGTAAGCAAAGTGGGTCAAAAGAGGGGTGAACGACTGAGAGAAGATTGATCAAGAGCTGGCATATGAAAGATAGTGAGATATAAACCTTTTTTATAAACAAATGTGCATTACGAAGCAAAGTAACTTCACTTTCATCAGGATGTCTTTTTTGGGGGACTGTGTTTAAACTGGGTGTCCATATGTCCAACATGAAGAACTAGTTGTTTCAAAGGCAAAGGTCAATCACCAAGCTGCCACAGACCTTGTGCTAAGTAGGAAGCTCCCTCTGTCACAACTGAATGATTTACCTCTTTAAAATTGTCAAAGGCAGACAAAATGATTTCGTGCCCTCCTCGTACGAGACAAACAGCTGCCAGCAGTTCTAAGACCAACGCCTTTGTTCTGTGCAGAAAAGGGAGAGAAAACCCATTAGAACAACGTGATGACTCAGCTTTTGAAAGAGAGACCCAGCTGACACCTGAAAACAATATTCTGAATGTTGCTCTTTCAAAGGGTGATCCTGCCAACACCTTAAAAAAGAGAGATTTACAAATTATTCAGTACTTTCTTAAGCCCTGCACTAAAGTCTCCTGAAGTTTTTACATGAATGCAAATAGAACTTACAAAATCATTCCTAGGCCTATTAATGTCTAGAAAGTACAAAGTTTTGAAATTACAGCTATCAGAAACAGAACAGCATATAAATATAAAGTTCTTGAAGAATGATTTTTTAATAAAAAAAAAAAACAATAGCCATATTTAAAAAATGAGCCCAAAAGAGACTTTTACCTGGGATTCTTGTTGTTCAGACTTAGTGCAATTTCGTTAACGGCATGGGGGTGCGACATAACCATATTGAAGCCATACTAAAATAAAAAAAACAAATTCAGCTGTTGCAACGTTTTTTTCTAAAAATGTAAAAAAATAATAAAAAGCAACTCTGGGCAATTTAGCATACATTCAGGGTGATACCTCTGCATCCATAAAGACTGGAATGTGTGAAAGGTATATACCCAATCTGTTACCATGTTTAGTATCTTTACTTAGCTTTGTCCTCTTTATACAGAACAAGCAAAATCAATTGTTGCTATGGCCAATAAGTACATATTAAATGACTTATTTTTAAAACACTGTAATGAATAGACACAGCAGTCATCACACGTCCCTTTCTTTCCTCAAAAAACAAGCAGCTTTCCCTGCTACTGCCTATCATGACTGTGATGGGGATGGACAGTTGCTTCCTTCCTAACACCAAAAATAGCACTCTGATTGAGCCCATCTACTTTGCTTCAACTATTTAGAAGTGGGTTCCCCCCCCCACACACACACAACATTTCTGCTCTGAGGCCTGAAATGATGCATAAAGCTGGTCCTTGCTTAACAATGCTTGTCCAGCGACTGAACTTACAACACTGCCGTGGTCCCACAGTCATTTGATCATTTGCTGCCAACTTTGCTGACTTCCCACAAGCAAAGTCAGTGGGGAAGCTGGCAGAAGATCGCAAATGGTTGACCACGTTAACGCTGTGTGTAATGACGGCACAGGATTAACTTAACAACCACAACTAGATGTGCCAGAATTTCCAGCAATTAACAAACCAATCATGTAAATTTGCGCTTGATGGCCACATTGAACAGATGTGGAAATTCTGGTCCCGATTACCATCATTAACTGAGAATTACCTGTATACAGGTAGTCCTTGATTTACAACAGTTCATTTAGTGACAGTTCAAACTTACAACGGCACTGACAAAAGTGACTTATGACCGTTTTTCACACACGACCATTGCAGTATCCCCATGGTCACATAATCAAAATTCAGACACCTGGCAACTGACTCATATTTATGACTGTTGCAGTATCTCAGAGTCTACCTGATCCCCTTTTGTGACCTTCTGACACAAAAGCAAAGTCAATGGGGAAGCCAGATTCACTTAACAACTGGGTTACTAACTTAATCACCGCAGTGATTCATTTAACAACTGTGACAAGAAAGGTCATAAAATGGGGAAACCTCACTTCCCAACTGTCTCACTTAGCAACATAAATTTTGGGCTCAATTGTATTTGTCAGTCAAGGAGTAGCTGTATATATTTTTTCATGTGTCATAGAAATTCCTATTTTTAATAAAAGAAAACTTAAAGAGAGGGTTTTTTTCCCCCTTTGACTGAGAGAAGAAACCACATTATGGCCATGTTTCAGAATCTTCACCCACCAAAGAATTTCTAAAATTCAGCTACCTGATAATTCATGATGGCACGTAAACACATGATGCAGACATGAACATCATCCTTTTTACTCACTAATCTTGAATTTTTAAGAGTTCTTCTGCTGGGTAAGGTGTTATACCTATCAACAAAAAATAATTAGGTCAGCTACTTGGTTTTAATCATTTTTTTAAAAATCAGACTTTTTTAAGCTCTATAATCATCTGCAAACTTTTGCAAATAACCTCCTAATTAAGGACAATGCTGATAATCAATCTTCATAATAACCAATAGTGTTAATTACATTGTTCTTCTGTGGACTTTCAATTGCTGAAAAAATGCATTCCTCAGCAAAGTAAATTTTCTATCAGACCGACACTGCAGTGAAAGATCTTTTCCAATAATCATAACTGCAATATACTGTTTTATTATAGATGAAGAATTCGAAGGGCTTTGAGATTAGCACTGAGGTGCTAGAATACAATGATTCCCGGTTTTCCATTTCCGTGGAAGTCTTGCCCTCCACTATCTTTTTGAGATTAAGGAGAGAGATTTCTTTGCAAAAGGAAATTGAGTTCAAAAAGGCATGAACTTATTTGCCTTTTACTTTACTTTTAACATGGTGTCTGTCAGATCTTGGCAATCTGTCAGTGTGCACAATATACATAATTAATCACTGTTGTGCTGCTTAATAACCATCAAAACCATGTTTGTTCGGAGTACCTTTATCTGCCAGTCTCTAAGAATCACTCATCCTTCAACTATACACTGCTGAACAAGCCAGCATTGTTTTACTATTACTTGCTGTTTTTAATTGGTTATTAGCCTTCTTGAGCCACATGGGTGGCCACATAAACTGAAATAAATAAATATTCTTATTGAGAATATTTTACCAATCTATTCCATAATACAATCGACCCTATCTGGTCTCAAAAAAAGATAAGCAAGGCCAGTATTTGGAAGAGAGATCACCAGGAAAGCTAGACAAGGAAGTTGAAAAAAAAATCTGGTAAAAGACAATATCTATCCACATTTTTGTTGTATACTAAGACCTTAAGAGTTGACATGATAAAAATAACTTTCTACATAAAAAAATAAATCTGATGCAGGATTTAATTCTAATTGGAAACCATTCCTAGCTCCTAATATTATAGAGATGGATGGATGGATGGATGGATGGACATGCTCCAAACCAAACTATCTACAGAATTACTAGTATTACATACCTACTAATCTAATTTGCTGCTTACTGTTTATATGTTTGTTAGTACTTTATACTGTGCTAACCAAATCAGTTTAACATTTAATGGGGGTATTTATTATTATCTTTTGTTTCCTTAATTTCTGTATCTTTTTAGTACCTTCAGTGTCTTTTCATTTTATTTATACTCCTGACATATTAAATGAATTAATTTTAAAATGGGGGTGGGAGAGAAATTAGGAACTGAAAGTGAGTTTTACTACTTTTACTATTGCTGTGCCCATGACTCATCAAGGGTTGATTTTTTTTTATCTTCTCCATATCATCCATGTTCCCATAATAACAGACATAATGCCATGTCCATTGTGATGAAACTATTCCAGCAGATATTTCAGTCTCTTAAAAATACTCCTACATAGTCCTATTTTAAATGCATAGTCCTAGGCAAGAATCAGAAAATGTTTCAAAGCATTCTTTTTATTCTGTTCTCTTCCAAATGCAGTTTCTTGGGGAGGAATTCATTCCCAGAGATTCCAAGATAGTGGGAATTCTGGGAGTTGAAGTCCACACATTTTGAAGTGGCCAAATCTGAAAAACACTGGATTAGAAGTTCAACTGCATGCATGGGCTGCACTGCCCTCTCCTTCAAACAGTGCTTTGGGTCTATGCTCCAATGGGTTCCATCGGCTAATTGATTTCCCATTCATGGAAAACATGCTTTGTGTGCGCGAGAGTCCTGGCAAGCGCTTTTCCAAAACAACTTCTGACCTAATTCCAGCACAATGGAGTTCATTACATCCCAAGCCATTAGAAAAATAATACTTCTATTAGCACGTTTATCTTTAGTGTCAAACAATGAGGTACCATTCAACCTTGCCAAACAAAAGCTAATTAATCTAAAATGGGCTTAGCTTTCATTTTTCACACAGAAGATAAATATTAGCCATTGTACTAACTTATTTTGTAATGTAGTTCAGATGACCAGGAAGCAAGCCTTACAAAGGAGTACAAAGCCAAGACATATTGACATGGGTAGAATGAGCAATGTTTCAACCTCTAGACTGAAATCTTTAGAATAAGAAGAATACTAATGAATATACAAAATGATCCCAATACTGCAAATTTCCATTGGCAGCCAGTATCATGCAATCTCAAAAATCAGCCCAAATATCACAGCCTTTGGGCTCAAAAGATCTGCTTGTAAGCACTTTATATTCTGGCCTTTCCAACTCAGTGGTTGCCATAATCTAGCAGATGAGAAGGCAGTTCATGTCCTTTACACTTGGTTGAACACGGAATAAAAAAAATGCAGCAAAACTAATTTCAAAGTCTACTTCCAGAAGTGTTTGGAGAACTGCAATTGACACGGGCATTGGAATTACCCCTGCAGTTTTACAAGAAAAGTCACTGTTTTCCTCAAATGACATCGCTGCCTGCAATGCTAATAATAAAAAAGAAAAAAAGAAAAAAAATCAGGGCACCGTGTGTTAGCTGTGACTTAAATTTGCAGTAAACAGAAACCGCAAGCAATTGGGATCTTGTTTTGGCCTAAGATAAATGAGACTGTATTCTCTTCACTGAACATCCATTAAAGTGAGAAAAACACATCCTGGAGAATACATCTTATACCTGAGGTACACAAATAGGCTGTGCATCTTAGAACAATACACAACCCAGCACAATGAGAAAATAAATCATTTCCAACTCTTAACGTTAACCATCTGGATCAGGTTATATTTTACTTTGCAAAAACATGCATGCATGTATTTGAAATACTGAACAATTTCTATCAGTTGCCCTATCTATGTGGTGCTTTAATGCAACCAGAAACAATTAAAAATAGGAGCAATGGTGTATGTTTGCCATCTTGAATTATTCTAAAGAAATAAAGGCCAGATAGACAGATAGATAAAAATAAAAATAAAATTTGAATGTAAAAACAAAAATTAGAACTCTCCTGGACTGTAAGCTGAAGCAATGCCAAAGGCAGTTAGGTGAAGAGAAACTCTGGAGGCACTTGAAGTACAGGACAATGAATTATTTGGATGGCATTTGATGTGGATAAGTGTGATGGAGAAAGGGATCCCAACGGAGTGGGCCTGCTTAAATAATGAGATAAATAGATATGACGTGAGAAAAAAAAAGAAAAAACAGTGAACCTGGGAAAGAATGAGAAAGGAATAGAAACTGAAACTAATACTGAAAGTAGATAAAGTTTTCAGAAAGAAGGAATAGGAAAACCAAGACCAGAAAGAGTGAATTTAGATACTATTAGTCTGCATCTGAATGTTGCTTTTCAACAACAAATACAGATTCACAAATATTGAAAACATGTGTTGGCCATAGAACTGGTTTATTGCTTTTTAAAAATATATTTCATAAAAATGCAGCATTCCAAAACCACAAGTACTGTTCAAATAGATTTCCTAAGAATTATTAAATATTCTAAAAGGTAGTTTAACCCCAGAGAAAACTGTTCAAATAGCCAATCAGAAACGTTAAGCTATACTTTCAATAATGCCGCTTTCTTTTCCAAATTCTTCACTCAATTCTATAGCTAGTAGCCTAACCTTTATCTTTTATACCCTCATTTTAAATGAATACACTTCTTACAAATTATTCCTCTACAGACATCTGCTTTAAGCCCATTGATATATAACTTGATCAGGGTGGCATTCAAAAATCCCAGCCACCAGTTCGCTGCCCAGTTGCTGGGTGGGCGTCGCCGTGGTGGGCATGGCCTACCGGAACTTATGGGAGGGCCGTTTTTTGCCTACTCAAGGGTCCAGAGGCTTCCCTTGGGCATCTGGGAGGGCAAAAATGGCCTCACCCAGGCTCTGGAGGCCCTATGGAAGCCAGAAACAGGCCCGTTTCGCGACTTCTGGGAGGGCCCTTTTTCGCCTTGTCAAGGGTCCGGAGGCTTCCCTTGGGTCTCTGGGAGGGCAAAAATGGCCTCCCTGGGCTCTGGAGGCCCTCCGGAAGCTGGAAACAGGCCTGTTTCATGACTTCTGATACTTCGAGAGGGCCCTTTTTTGCCTTCCTCAGAGCCTGGAGGTTTCCCTTGGGCCTCTGGGAGGGCGAAAATGGCCTCCCCTGGGCTCTGGAGGCCCTCCGGAAGCTGGAAACAGGCCTGTTTCCAGACTTCCGGAAGTCCCGTTTTCCCCCCTCCTAGAGCCTCCGTGCAGATCCTGCACGTACCTGCATCGAAAATGGGCCACATGGAGACTCCTGGGAGGGGAAGGGCAGGATGGGCAGGGCCAGCCGGTCAGTTCAAATACCTTTTCGGCAAACCAGATGCAAATTTAACATCCGGTTCTCCGGAATCGATCTGACCCGGTAGAATTCCACCCCTGAACCTGACCATCTGTGGTTTACATGTGAAAAAAAAAATAACAGAGTTACTTTACTTTTATTCTGCTACTACACATTCTCATTTACTCTTGGAAGTTTTTAAAATAGGAGCAGTGAACTTAAAATGATGACATTTAATACCTACCACCTTCTGGGCGTGCATATGTATGTAACACATGCACATATCTTTATATCAATGTTGACTTCTGGCAGGTTCCTGAACAAGTCTCTTCAGTTTACTGGCAAGGTTTTTTGGAACCGGTTTCCCATGGCCTCCTTCTCAGGGCTGAGAGAGGGGGACTCACCCAAGGTCACCTGGATGGCTTTGTGCCTATGATAAGTCTAGAGTCTCACAGTATCCTGGTTTCTAAGTGGATGCCTTAACCACTATACCTACCTGGGCCCCATCTATATCCCATATGTATTTGAAAAGCAATGCCTCCACTGAATTAAAAAATTGTTGAGTTTGGGTATCAAGTTCCAAATCAACCTTGTAAAGTTGCACCACCATTAAAAACCCAACTAATCAAAAGCAGTTTTTTGTGTAGATCAGCGTTTTCACACTGTTTTGGCTGTGTGTAAATATTCCCACAATGTCGGGAAGTGCTTCTAAGCAAACATGCACATATTGATGAACAGGATAGGCCACAATTAGCACAATGACCTTCACATGAGTCAAGCAAAGCTCAAGTTAGCTACAGGACCACATTCATATGAATTCGATAAATGTATTACCAAAAGCGTGCTATAAATACAATTGGGGGAAAATATAGTAGCAAACCTGTTGACGGGAAACAGCCATTTCTTACATATAACACTGGTGCTTTTATACCAAGAATCCATGGAGCTGAAAGCATGAACATTATATAATACTGTGTTTCTCCAACAATACGGCCTCCACCAATATGATTTCTAGGCATGAGGTGAAATTAAGCCCCGCCCCCAAAATTTAGGCCTATTTAATCCATGTGTTTCCCCGCCATTTCTCACATCGTTCATTAAAACTACACGAGATGAAGAGAAATGGGGCGGAAGGGGGGGAGAAAACTTGCCTTTAGGAGCACCCTGCATGTACCCCAGGCGAGAATACCGCAATCTACTACCGATAGAACATCGGCCGATAGAAGCTCCCCGAAGGCAGAGTCACCAGCCGCTTCTATCGTCTGGTAGAAGCGGCCTCGGGGCGAACGCCCACGTGCACTCCCCTCGCCACAAAGCCCTTTCTATTGGCCGATGGAAGCTCCCCAAAGGCAGAGTCACCAGCCGCTTCGGGGCGAGGTGTGGCTGCCCGCAGAGCGCTCCTGACAGGAGCACCCCACGCACACTCCCCTTGCCACGAAGCTGTTTCTATCAGCCGATGGAAGCTCCTCAAAGGCAGAGTCACCAGCTGCTTCTATCAGCTGGTAGAAGCGGCCAGAGGCGAACGCCCACATGCACTCCCCTTGCCACAAAGCCATTTCTATTGGACGATGGAAGCTCTCCGAAGGCAGAGGCACCAGCTGCTTCTATCGGCCGGTAGAAGCGGCCTCAGGACAAGTGCCCCACGCACACTCCCTTCATCCTGAGACCGCTTCTACCGGCCGATAGAAGCGGCTGCTGACTCTGCCTTTGGGGAGCTTCCATTGGCCGATAGAAATGGCTTCGTGGTGAGGGGAGTGCATGTGGGCGGGTGCTCGCCTCGAGGCTGCTTCTACCGGCTGATAGATTTCCTCTCCCATGCACACCCCCACCTAGAGTGGCCCATGTGCACTCAACTCTCCATGAGGCTGCTTCTACCGGCTGATAGAAGCGGCTGGTGACTCTGCCTTTGGGGAGCTTCCATCAGCCAACAGAAGTGGCCTTGTGGAGAGGTGACTGCGCATGGAGCACTCTAGGTTGGGGTGTGTGTGGGGGAGGAAATTAAGTCACCCCCGAAAAGACGTCCTAGCCGTTTTTTGGGGGCTCAAAAAAATATAAGACCCGGCCTTATTTTATGAGAAACACGGTAGATGATTTTTTTTTTAATGGTCTGGAAGTGGTGTGACTGTGACATCATGAATCATTGAAAGAGAAAGGGAAGCCAAAACCTAACATCCAGGCCCTGGCTATTGTGGGAGGATTGTGGGAGCCACAAAAGGATTGCTGTGGAAGTCACATGAAATTGACACGCTAAAAGTTGCCTACCCCATCCTTTGTGAGGATCAATAAAACGTTGCTACAATACAGCCAACTACTGATCAAAAATTACTACTTTATATGATAGCTATAGGACTATGAATCGCAATGAACAAATGGAACCCTTTAAGATGAACTCAATCTTAATGAAATTCCTGTATGTGAAATTATTGAATAGTATGTTCCTTCTCTAGTATTGAAGCTGCAATCCCATAAGCTTATATCAAGACTAATTCTTAAGGAGATAATAGTGATCACATGCATAGGTTTATGTTCAGAACTGTAGATTTACAACATATTTATATACAATCATGGACCATGCCCCCCTCCCCACCAAAATGAAGCAGATTTCTATGAGGATCCAGTTTGGTGCAATAGTTAAAGCACCCAGCTAGAAACTGGAAGACCGTGGGTTATAGTTCAAGTGTCTTAGGCGCAAAACCAGCTTGGTGACTTTGGGCCAGTCACTCTGTGTTGGCACGCAAGGGGAAATTATCTTGTCATTGCTCTGCCCAATCAACTAAGATTGTGTAGTTCAGGGGTCTTCAAACTTGACAGCTTTAAGACTTGTGGATTTTAATTCCCAGAATTCCTCCTCCAGTCATGTTAGCTCAAGAATTATGTGAGTTCAAGTCCACAACTCTTAAACTTGCCAAGTTTGAAGACCCTTGATATAGTGTAAAGATAAATGATTTCATTGCAGGTGAAGAACATTTTGATGGTTTGACAACAGGTTATACCGACCAGTGATATCAAGACATCATCAAGATGGGAAGCACTAAAGTTGCCCAATTAAGGGAAGAAATGTAAAGGCTTGAAAAACCTATTTTGCCTTTTAAGTTCTACAAAATGCAAGAACACCACAAAGTCAATTTTATTTCTTCCATCTTACCTTAGAGTAGAATGCCTGCTGGAACAGGAAATACTATTGCCAATTGGAGAAGGTAAGTTGCTTCCTCGATGGAGATCTTCAATCGATCGACTCCATGGTTTAGATTTATCCACTGAATTTTCCATATTATTTTCCAAGCTTTCAAAGTCAAACCTGAAAAGAAATAGACACTTCATATGCCAATGAGGAGGAGGAGATTGCATTTTTTCCCCTGCTACAGAACTCAGAAATGTCCCAATAGATAACATCAATAAAGGGGTAGAGAACCATATGAATACATTTTCCTTTGGGCTGAAACTCAATTCTGGTTTCACAATAAACCTGGACCTTGAAATGGGGGGAATAAAAGGCTGTCAGGAGGAAAGTCACACAACTTTACAGGGACCTAATTTCAAGTTTGTTTAAATTCTTGGAAGACAAAACAAGCTTCCCATATTATAATATAGATGAAATGTCAAGAATGCATTTTCTTTTAAAGATAAATAAATGATGTATTCTAATTACTTTCAACTGTCAATATGCAATGGAAATGTTTTTTTTTTCCAATATGTTGGCCAAGGCGAAATTCCAAACATATGTAATACATTACTGTAATCATGACTGTAATATTCTATTGTTTGGTTTATTTCTCAAACCTTGTCTAATATACTGCTGGTTGAAAGGAGAATCATGCCAGCCTCTTCCACAGACTTTGAGGCTATTTCTCATACTTAGTATGTGAGGAAGAATGGACAGTAAGAAAGGCTACTTACTTTTATCTGAGTGGCCAGTTCACACAGAACCTTACAACATAATATGGTTTGTCGGTTTTTTTGTTCACTATGATGTGCAAAACTCATCTGCATGATTTGTAAACTATGGCTTCTTTTTGCAGACAGATTCACGCATCACATCAAAGAATCCCAAACAAACCATATTATTGTTCAGCTTTATGTGAGAATGCAGCTGTTGTTTTTAAAGTCATTTGCTTTTCTGTCATGTGCCATTCTTCTTACCTCGTTTACTCTGTTAGCACAGGTTAGGTCCTTACTTACACAGCAGTAGAAGAACTTTTTAAGGTTTCCACCCTAAAAATAACTTTATACTTTTTTGCATCTTGAAATGTTTTGATCATGATCAAGAAGACGTACAAGTGAAGCAGAAGCTTCTCATTTGCACGTGCTCTTTCCCCTCAATGCAGGGAAGGAAAAGGGGCTCTGAAGCCACCTTTTATCAGTAGGGCTTCATTCTGAAGTCTATGTCACTTTCCATCAATGGGACGGCAAAGCAGAGGGATTTCTTATGAGGATCTTATGGGCAGTCTTTCTGCTTCCTCTCACTGGTGACTGAGGAAATTTAAGTATTAAGAAAAAGCAGGCAAAGAGGAAGAAGCATGACCATTGTGGGCTTCTCGTTCTGTTGCAGCACACAACCAGTTTTGTCCACAATCACACCTGGACCTCAACACAGCAAGATATGAAATCTCCAAATTGGAGCAGACAAACATCAGCCCAGTTGTAGATCATACGCTTTGTAAGCGGGAAGTCCTACATTTTATTCTTGGCATCTTCAGTTAAAGGGAACTCAGAAAGGAGAAGATGGACTTCAGGAAACTTAACAGAAGCCACTTGGAATAAGGCAACTTCCTATATGCCTCATAAGCAACCCCTCATAACTATGCTTTTGTTTTTTCTATTGCTGCATGTGCATTTGAGTTGACTTTCAATGCACATCTGAAGACTTGGCTATGGGCACAGTAGATCTCAGCACATAATAATGATTTATCATGCTTCCCAATGCTTCCGGAACTGATACTACCATTTATTGTCCCTGAAGTAAGCAGCGCAATTGGCATAACAGAGAACAGAGACTTTATGACAGCCATCTTAGGAAGACAGACATATAATTATTTGAATAACAGGGTTTTATACCAACTGTGTTCACCATTTACTGAAACAGATGCACTAATAATATCTTTCTCCTTCTGCCCAGATTGTGAATGTGTGGATCATATTATACTTACGTGACTGCATACTGTGCAAAAGACAAATATTCCACCAAAACATCTAGGCCTTTGTTGTCTTCATTCAAAAATTCCCTGACCCACCTGGAAAAACAATCATCAAAAGAGATCATTGTATTTATATCTGTACATAAACCAAATATTACAGGACCCAAAAAGGTATTCATTTCTTACTCAGAAACTTGAGAAAGATAAAAGATTAAGAGCCATATTTTCAGAGTGAACGTCAGGTTTACCTTTAGTGTGACTGTTTCATGCAGAGTTTGAAAATATTATTAGAGGTCAGCAAACTGGTTAATTATTTTGATGAGTAATCTGCAGTTAGATGCATCATTTAAGACTGGTGAAAATGTAATAATTCCAAGTTCTAACCAAGGACCTAAGGAATTATTAAGGTACTGACGAAGGATATATATGGGCAGCTCCAAGCAAGGTGACATTTTATAAAATTAGGGTGTTCATTATTATGGTTCACCACACAGTCAGCCAGATATTCAGACTGAATTTGGCATTGTTATCTACCTATCATCACAGGATATAAGATATTCTGAGTAAAGCTGCCTGTTGCAATTGACTGATAGTGATTTTTGTCAATGCCAATGGTGTTCAAGTGGTGCTTCAGTTATTTTGGGATTGCACTCAAGGCACCTATGACTATTTTGCTTCCTTTTGCCACAGTTGTTCTAGTTCTATTTGCAACTCTTTCTACTTTACTATCTTCTCCAGTTTTCTCTCTTCTATTCTGATGTCTCCAGGTACTGCCACATCCACCATTCCGACTTTTTTGTCACTGTTATCAACAATTGTTTTATCTCGGGTATTGTGTGGCATTGTGCCTGTCTGTTTGAATTCTGAAGTCTCGGAACATTTAGTTTCTTCATTTTCCAATTTTTCATGCACCAAGCAGCACATACAGCTGAAACAAAGTAACTCAAGTAACTGAACTATGCCAAAATAAAACCATACACGGATTTTGTATTTTCAGGAGCGTTTTTGCAGGGGGAATGGGACCCAAACTAAAACAAATAAACTCTTGTAGTCCATTCTATCATTCAATTATTTAACAGAATCAAATTCTTAATATTCCATTTGGATTCCAGCTGAATAATGCCAACTGGCTTTCAACTTGATGGTCAGCCTTTTGAGGATGACCAGATTAGAAAACAGACTACACCAGAAGATTAGTGCTATACTTTATTGAGTAAGGCTATAGCAATAGCACTTAGACTTATATCCTGCTTCATAGTGCTTTACAGCCCTCTCTAAGTGGTTTAGAGCAGGGGTCCCCAACCGCCGGTCCGCGGACCGGTACCGGGCCGCGGAACAAGCCTTACCGGGCCGCTGGTTGCTGGGCGCCGCCATCTTTTTTTGGTAAAAAAAGCAATTTTTCGTCAAAAAAGATGGCGGCGCCAGCGCTTCGGGTGAGCTTTTCCGGGTAGAAAGCCATTTCTACCCGAAAAAGCTCACCAGAAGCGCTGGCGCCATTTTTTTTGACGAAAAATCACTTCCGGTGACGTCACCGGAAGTGATTTTTCGTCAAAAAAAGATGGCGGCGCCCAGCTGACGCCGGAACCGGGCCGCGGCGCCCAGCTGACGCCGGAACCGGGCTGCGGCGTCGAAAAGGTTGGGGATCCCTGGTTTAGAGTGTCAGCATATTGCCCCCCAAATTTTGGGTCCTCATTTTACCCACCTCAGAAGGATGGAAGGATGAGTCAACCTTGAGCCTGGTGGGATGTGAACTGCCAAATTGCAGGCAGCTGACAGTCAGCAGAAGTAGCCTGTAGTACTGCACTCTAACCAGTGCACCACCAAGGCTCTGTAATAGAACATAGGGGGCACAATGTCTCAGCAGTTAAAGACACTGAGCTTATCAGCTGGAAAGTTGACAGCCTGGGTTCAAGCCCGGGTGAGTTCCCGTTCCTGCATCTTCCCCATTTAACAGTTCAAAAGTATGCAAATGTGAATAGATTAATAGGTACCATTTTAGTGGGAAGGTAACAGCATTCTGTGCACCTTTGCCATATGACCACAGAAATTGTCTTCAGACAACACTAGCTCCTTCGACTAAGAAATGGAGATGAGCACCCCTGCCCTAGAGTCAGACATGTCTGGACAGGGGAAACTTTTACCTTTATAATAGAATCCTTCCAGTCTATGCTTATTCTCTCCTCCTTCTTATAGTCAGGGAAGAGCCAAATGGAGGCTCTTCTGTTACTTCCCCATTACTCAAAACATGTTTTTGTGCAACTTGGTTGCTTTCTGAACAGTTTCTCAAAGTCATTTCCATGGCTCACTATACCAACATAACTAAATACCTACTTAAGATTTCCAAATAGTATTTGGTTTACCAATAAGGCAATCTTTCCTGCAGCAGCTCACCTGCCTTGAAAAGTAACCTTGCATATAAGATCAGGAAAACCGCATTCGTCTTGAAGAAGACACATGACACTTAGATCTTTTTATTGTACAAGTCACATAGCCATTTCTCATCTACTGACATACTATGATTTATGCAATGCCAATGAAAAAATCTGTAAGTGAAAGTTACAGATTGCTAATTCTTGCTCACCGTTCAAAGTATCAAATGCAAAAACGAAACAAAAAAATGGAATGCTCTTCTATCTTATTTTTAAAGGAAACCATGAGGAACATCATGACATACCTAAAATGTGAGAAAGAGTTCACTATGTGTAGAAAGTCACTATCTCTACTCTCCAGTTAGTTATGTGCAAAAGCACTATAAGTAACATGCAATTACGTTGCTCAGCTAACAGATACATTTAAACCTTTTCCTAAGGAGACACATATGATGTCTAAATCCTAATGAATTTGGCAGATGTAATCTCTAATAAAAAGTCACGGCTAATAATTGCCATCACAATGCCTGGTGTTTTGAAAGAGTCAGCAGTTTGGGAAAAAAAATAAAAGTAAAGGAGAAAGATTGACTGCTGTAAAGTATTTGGCTTAGCAAATACTGCTGAAAGCTGGAATTTAATTGATGGCAAAACTGTTGCAATTGCTTACAGATTTCCTTGGCTTCTTATCTCCAAAATATTACCTAAATCTTCACTCACTGCCAATTATCTCTTGGAAATGTTGGCCTAGCATCGGTATTTCATGGTCAATTTAACTTCACTGAAAAGGTGGAAGGGGAGGAAGGAGGCAGAACCACAACTTTTAAACAAAAACAGTTTCTGAGATCTACTTGGGAGATGGTAAAGTACAATTTGTTTTGAAGCAACCCTGCATTTGTTGAAATTGCTTTTTCCTTAATTTTCCTCCCACTGAGAAGCCCAAAGCTTCTGTTAAAACTAAGGTAGCTAAGCCACAGTGCCTTGGGGATGAACCTATTCTATTCAACAGATGTCACTTTTCAAGCTGAACTCAAAGGAACTCTAGCTTCTTTGAAGTCAACCACGGGACTCTCATTTAATACCATGATTGACTTCAAAAAAACCGAATAATGACAGTGACAATAGTTTACTGTGTCACTGTGTTGGTTATGCCCCAAATCATTTCCCCAAATACCATTGCTTTTTTTTAAAAAAAAAAACTTACCCAATATGATTAGTCCTTAAAGAAATTTCTAGTTCCCGTAAAACTTGTGTAGATTCTTGAACTCTTCTCCTAAATTTCTAGAATTTATAAGAAAGGGGGGAAAAACAATTCTTATATGATGTCTAGATTAATGAGGATGATAATTAGCCTAATCCTTATTGATTTTTCTTCTTTCTATTATGAAATAAATCAAACGCCCTTCAAGATATCAAGAACAGTATGTTTTAAAAATGATAAACACTTTTCTGAGTCTGTTTTTTTAAGCACAAACACATCTGTCCCCAGACACAAATAATTTTGTTCAATCAAATTTCTCAGTATTCTCTCCTGAAGATAACACAAAAGGTCTTCCATAGTTGACCATTTTCCCCATGATTTGTAGACATACATTATGGTAATATTTCCCAGGATGATATAAACTCAAGGCCCGTGGGCACATCCGGCCCGCAGGGTGCTTAAGTCTGGCCCATGTGGCCAGCCTGGAAATAGCAAAGGACCGGGCCAGCATGCCTCTGGCAGCCAAAATGGGGCACAGACACACACACACCCCCGCCCGCATGTTATGAAGCAGGAAACATATGGAAAACATACAATGTAATTTCCAAATAAAATGTTTTTTTTTTAAAATAGTATAAATCCAGATTCTCAAAACCTCAAGGAATTTTTTTTTAAAAAATTAAAAATCTGCAGACTACTTCATTTCTCTGCATCTTAAAATTTTTTAATGTGGCTTACAGTCACCTCAAACTTTGCCTAACTTTTGTTTATATGGTTATATTGGAGCTGTGGACTTGTTGATAAAGAATCTTAGAATTATTATCCATAGAACACCATCCCTGACAAAGCCTCGAAAAAGAAGGTCCATATACTAATCTCAATAGAATGGTGACACTTTCAGCAAAGTGCCTGGAAAACAACCATAGCTTTCAAAATCTGCAAGAGCTTTATTTTCCTCCTCCTTTTTGGTAAACAGAGAAAGCTTTTCTGCTTGATGTGGCAAAAATGACCATCTTTAAGCAAGAGAGAGAAACTAACCCTCCCCCCCTCAAATCTCTTACCTTCCTAGTTACAGCTGGATCAAGATAACCTTTTAATTTCTGTATATATGTATGAGGTGGATTCTTGACTTGAAATCTTTCCTGTAAGTAAAAAAGTCATCATTAGCCCCTAGTTGCCAAATATAGTCACTAATATCTATATAAAGAAGCATGTAAAAATGTTTTGTTATATCTTTATTTAATTAATATTTTCTTTATTTGTGTATTAGAAACAAAGGCCAAATACTTCAAAATCATCCACTATTTTTTTAAAAAAAGAGCTGTACAAATTCACTACACTACCATCTCCCGTGCTCATCAACGAATAGGATAAATTGTGTATTCTGTTCAAAGAGAAAGATGATGTGTGTTACTGAGGCTATCAGATTTAATTTATGAGCACAGCTGATGATATTATAGTTTATTGTCATCTTGTTATCATGGAAAGGAACTATTTTACATCAGCTCCTCTGTATACATGGTGACCAAGAATGTGGGGATGGGAGAAGTATTCCTTGACTTACAACCACAATGGAGCCCCTAAATTCCCATAGCTAAGCAGGACAGTTGTTAAGTGTGTTTTGCTTGCCCCATTTTACAACTTTTTTGCCACTGTTGTTAAGCAAATCACTGCAGTTTTAAAGTGTATCATGTGGTCACTATCATGTGAATCTGGCTTCCCCCATTGACTTTGCTTGTCAGAAGCCAGCTGGGAAGGTTACAAATGGTGATCAAATGGTAACCCCAGGATAATGCAACTGTCATAAATATATGTCAGTTGCCAAGCAACCAAATTCTGATTACATGACCACGGGGATGCTGCAATGGTCCTAAGTGTGAAAACTGAACATAAGTCATTTTTTTCAGTGGCGTTATAACACTGAATGGTCACTAAACACATGGTTGCAAGTATAGGACTACATGTAGTCTGACACATCTGCAGTAAATTATGTTCACAAAGACTGCATTCCACCGAACCTGATTTTTTATTCATTTATACAATTAGTTGTTTATACATTTATACACATATTATTATTATTATTATTTCAAAGAGAATCTACCTATCTACTGCACAAACGCAAGAAGAAGATAGAGGGCTCCTTTCCTGGAATCTCTTTCTGAGATTCAGGAAATGGAGCAAAATGAGAACCGTTTAGGTGTTGCCCCTCTTGGAGATCCAAATAAATCCTCTTCTCCTAAAAGGAGAACTCACCCCAGCCATCACACCCGGCCGACTCACCCCAGTTGACTTGCTAAGGCCAACTCGCTGTGGGAAGATTTATCACAGCCAATTCACTACGGGACAACTTGCCACGAGACAATTCCATGTGGGATAACTCAAGAGAGGGGCAAGTAAACTTGCCGTTCACCCCAGCCTGAAGGACCTCTAACTTGAGAAGGTTCAAACCTAAAGTAAGACAAGGCCTGCTGTAATTCATTTGTCTTGAGTTACCCTGCTTTGAATTGTCCCATGGCGAGTTGGCCATGATGAGTTATCTGGTGGCAAACTGGCTGGATCAAGTTGTCCTAGACTCCTCCTAGAAGGTTGTTGAAACAGAACTGCCCAGGAGAACCTTTGAGCATAATAATATTGTCTGCAGAGGGCTTAATAACAACAATATCATTTTAAAAATTATTTCTTTCTTTGCATTTGTATTGTTTTTTTCATGTCTATTGTCATTTTAAATTGTAAACTGAAGAGATAAATATATCTCTTAAAATATATTCCAGTAAAGCAGAAGAGGGTGCTTAATAGTACCCTCAGAAGTGTGGCAATGTAGAAATGTAGTAAATAAACTAACTATGGTCTACTGACTCTAATGTTAAAACTAATGGACTTCTAATATTTTCCCAAGGCTCACATTTTTTTTAGGATGTTTAATTTTCAAAACATGAAAAATGCATTTTCATTTCTTCGAAATCTGAGCTCCTTGCTCCTTTAAAATCTGTTAATTTTTAATAAATATACAATGCAATAACAAGGCAATCCCGATTCTCTGTCAATTTATGTCTCTTTCCAATATTGCTTTGTAGTTAAATACCTGGCAATTACATCATAGAAATTGGGTGTTCAGTAAACTACATGAAAAGAGAAGACCATAAAAAGAAAGTGCCATTAAAGTGAAATAAGGAAACTGGAAAAAAAATCATCAATGATAGAACTATTCAAAGTTCAAATGGTTAATCATTTATCTTTATGTATACAGTTTCATTATGAAAACAAACCTTGTACCTATTCTTTCTCAAATGATGCCAATGCTGGAATATACACAGCACCATAACTTATTTTTCTTTTCTTTTCTGTCTTTAAAATCTATTCTGGAAAAACAGAAGAGGGTACTTAATAGTTTCCTTCCTGAAAATAACCCAGCAGTATCTTTTCTTTATTCTCTGAAAAAATATATATTTATCCTTCAGATGTGGGTCCTAACGTGAATATGGGGATATTTTGGAATGGGAAAAGAGGAAACCTTCGCCGACTCCTTTTCCGTTCTGAATTGTTTCCTTCTGAAATACAGCTTGACCGCTCGCAGTGTCATTTCTGTTTTGCTATCACAATGCGGATGTATATAGCTGAGATGACAATTCAGAGCAAGGAGCTATCATTCACAAGCAGCTTATTTCTGCAGGAGAAGCAAGATTTACCTTATCTGTAAAAGGAGGAAGACGAGCCCCAATTCTTTCACAAAACTATCGTTTAAAGGCATCTTAGGAACTCGGGGTGGCTGTTAAACTTGTTAAATCACTTCAAGGCTGTGGAATTGCAATTGTGTTTGCTGAAGTCCCAGATCATTGACGGTGTGTCAAAAAAATCAGAAAATGCCTACTTTGAGTCTGCTGGCATCTTTCTCTCCCTCTCCCTCTCACACACAGAGAGAAAGAAGTCATAAAAAAATAATAAAAATTGAATTGAATTAAATTTATTAGTTAATAAATAAATGTTTATGTAATTGTAAATTATTTTTTAAAATGTCTATCCAAGGCAGCTCTAGAGGCCTTGAAAATTTGAAGAATGCTCTTGGGTGGCCTTGCAGTCTCCAAAGAGAGAGGAAAAGCACACCCGTTCTCACACAATTTTGTGGGGGTTCCAGAGACCATGTGAGAGCTAGGCCCTCCTGCACAGTTTTCAGAGGGTAAAGAGGCCTGGTGTATCACCTGTTCTGTGACACACATGTCATAGATTCTCCCCCACAAATCCTACCCATTCTATTCCTTGACAGGATTCAAAATGTTGAATCGGTAGCTGGTTGCTCATGCAACAGGGCTCTAAGCCCTGTTGGTCTTAGAGCAATATTTTAAAATCATCCTTAATGCCATACAGACTCACAAATGATTGTGGTGCTTCATTGCTTTAACCTCTTGTAAACACCTATAAATCAATGTTTGAGGAACTGAGGCGTAATTTTTGGGATTATAAAGCTCACTAAATTCCAGAACTTGCTTCTAAATAAATCGACATAGGATTGAACATTGAATTCTACATTCAATTACTTTGCTCCTACTCAACAAACATATTCGTGATGATGCTCATGAAAGCTTTAGAAAGGCTATATACTTGAACTAACTCCTACAGTACATTTTGCTTTCTTATCCCTCAGTGGATAAGGATTTCTAAAAACACATTTTCCTTGTTTTACCTTAATGCCATATTTATAAATTATAACCTGATTCCCAGCATCATATGCCGATTCATACATTGGATTTTCTTCTGTACAATATTTTAAATTCCTGATTAACTTCCGTAGATTTGCATTATATCACAGCACAACAGTATATTTAACTAGATCCTGTTTTCTATGTCAGTGAAGAATCTGGCATCTTAATATACTTATTTCTATTTAACTTAAAATTAACATTACGCCTTCTGAATATGGATAACCCTATGAAAAAGGAAACAGAATGCTCAATTATTTCCTTAAATGAATCACAAATTACACAACTTTTAATACCTATTTCTGCTGATTTCTCTTAGTTTAAAATTATGTTATCTTTATTATTATGTGAAAATATTTATGCAAACATTTTAATGCAAATAATTTGCAGAATGTGGGCTGTATGAATCAAGATTGCAACTTAGCATTAAGGCATGTGAACTAGTTTGTGAGATATGTCAATTTGCATCAAAATGTGACTATGTGAAACACTTACTAATTAATATTTATACCATCATAAAGACAACTCTACTTTCTTTTTATTTCTTACAAAATGCATATAACTGTTTTCAAAAGATTTACAGCATGTGTAGATGTGTGTGTTTCTTAGAAAATAAAAAAAATTAACAGCATAACACTTCCTGAATATCAGGTTTTGGGGATCAAAACCAGTATGTGGGAAATAAAACTATCCAGAAAGAGATGTCACTGATTTCTTTCTACTCATATATAAAATAGCATACCGAAAAATGGCATTTATTGTATATTTCAGGTATGTTCTTTCATCTCAGGGACTATGTAACATGAAGAACACTTTCCTGATTAATAGTAACCAGGATTTGTATCAACAGCTTTAGAAAGGATAGATTTTTAAAAGCTTCTCATAAGAGAAATGGGGTGCACTATTAATAAAACTCATATTAAAGTCAGTATTCAGAATGACTGCTTAGAATTACCCTGTTTCTCCAACAATACGGCCTCCCCCAATAGGAAGTCCCAGCATGTTTTATAGGCATGAAATGAAATTAAGCCCCTCCCCCCAAATTAAGGCCTATATTAAAACATGCGAAATGGTGGGGAATGGTGCTGCCTGCGTTGACCTCGATACTAAGTGCCTCACCAACACCGAGGTCAACATCCAAGCCGTCGCCGCCCGCCCGCCCAAAGATGCAAAGGGGGGGAATTAAGTCACCTCCGAAAAGACGGCCTAGCCATTTTTTCGGGGCTCAAAAAAAAAAAAAAAAGACCCGGCCTTATTATATGAGAAACACGGTACTTATAGCCATGGTTAAAGACAGTAGATAAAATCTGTATGCAAGAAAGAAGAGACAGCATATCTAAGCAGATAGAAGTGATAAATGTTTTGAAAATCATGTTTATTTCAACCATTTCGTTTACTTTTTTTCAAGCATGCTCTTCAGTTCGAAGCAAAAGACTAACAAAAGAAAG